AATATGGCGCATTATTTTAAAAGGCGATGACAATCAAGTGCGTGTGTGGGTGGGGATATTATTACATTATCCCCACCCACACATACACCTACATGTTCACTATCAGCCATGCATATACAGTCAACTTCGCGTATAGCGACACTCGGCGGGGCATCAGAAAAGTGTCCTTATTCGCGAAGTGTCATTATACCCGAAGTCCCATTTGAATGTATTCCAGTTGGATGTGACTTTGCTCTGGGCATGGAAATTCTGTCGTTATTCGCGAATTGTCGTTATATCCGCAGTCGTTATTAGCCAAGTTTACTGTATCGCACATAGGCATGGCACAAAGCTACGTAAAACACAAGCACACACGCTACCACACTTTGCCAAGTTTGAAAACATGCTGAGTATTTGAAGTACGAGTGTGCGCTATGCAGACTGAATAAAACCGTTAACGTCACGCAGGCCCGACTCACCATGTACAGACTCATTCCGATACCCCAGAAGAAGGAAAGACGAGGTGCAAACTCATCAATCTTCAGACCAGCGTCAATACCTGCCAGAAAGTAAGCGGCAACATTGAGTGTACACACACGCACGCACGCATGTATGCACACACACACGACACACACACACGCGCGCGCGCGCACAAGCACACACACACACGCACAGCATGGTTACTCCCTGATCAAACTAGAACCAACGCATTGAAGAGTGCAAGTCTGTGCTCTCCGTGCCTGTGGCTGTTGCCAGCATTGGATACTGCGTAGGTGCATCAACAAATGAGGAGATGTTTGACTACGGTTCTGGTGGGTGCCGATAAACGTAGTGCGAATGAACAAACTGGCTAGAAGTATTACTTCACCAAGCACAGACTACCGTTATTTACGTGACGACTCCTAACCATTGCGCATAGACTGCTGTACATTACAAATAAGAACGGTCCAGGCTAGGAGGCTGACCCCCAGTTCTTCGGCGACCGACAGCACTGTACACCAAACTCTTGATTTCGCACGATGTAACCATGCGCTCTATGGGCAATTAGTACCCGTGAACGCGAGCCGTTATCTCTACACACGAAGTCGACGAAGAGCTACACAAACACAAGACCAATGGGGAGGGGGTTAACAGCAAGTAACAATATGTTCATTTATCTGTCTCTGCCCGTCTCTGTCTCTCTGTCTCTCTGTCTCTCTACCCCCCAGCCCTGCAGTCTCATACCTGTTTGACAGTACTGCAGGCCATCAGCAATGGTGAATGCACACTCCAGAATAGCGTTGGCACCTGCCTCTTGCATGTGATATCCAGATATACTGATACTGTTAAACTTGGGCATAGTCTGTGCACAACAATAACAACAGAGCCACCAGAAACAAAAGTAAAGCAACAGCAACAGCAATAGCAGTGGTGACGGTGAGACACTAGGACCAGCAACAACAGCGGTAAAGTGCGACAGCAGCAACAGTAGTAGTAGCAGCAGCAGCAGCGGCGGCGGCAGCGACAGCAGCAGCAGCAGCAACAGTAGCGACAGCATCAGCAGCATCATCAGCAGCAGCAGCGACAGCAGCAGCAGCAACAGTAGCGACAGCATCAGCAGCATCATCAGCAGCAGCAGCGACAGCAGCAGCAGCAACAGCAGCAGCAACAGTAACGACAGCATCAGCAGCATCAGCAGCAGCAGCGACAGCAGCAGCAGCAGCAGTAGCAGCAACAGCAGCAGCAACAGTAGCGACAGCATCAGCAGCAGCAGCAGCCACAGCAGCAACAGCAGCAGCATCAGCAGCAGCATCAGCAGCAGCGACACCAGCAGCAGCGACACCAGCAGCAGCGACACCAGCAGCAGCAGCGACAGCAGCAGCAGCGACAGCAGCAGCAGCGACAGCAGCAGCAGCGACAGCAGCAGCAGCAACAGCAACAGCAGCGACAGCAGCAGCAGCAGCAACAGTAACGACAGCATCAGCAACAGCAGCAGCAGCAACAGCGACAGCAGTAACAACAGCAGCAGCAACAGCAGTAGCGACAGCATCAGTAACAGCAGCAGCAGCGACAGCAACAGCGACAGCAGCAGCAGCCTCATCATCATCATCAGCATCAGCAGCAGCAGCAGCAGCCGCAGCAGCAGCAGCAGCAGCAGCAGCAGCAAGGAGATGATAGAGAAGTAAACATGTACAGAAGAAGAGAGAGCAGGTACTGGCACATCTGTACAACACTGCCATGTTATTCTATGAGTGTACTTGGGTGCATGCCTACATGTATGCATGTTCCAGTGTACATTTCTACATGTGACCCATGAAAGGGCATAGGAACACAAGGCAGTGTCATCAGACTATCGTACTGCAATGTTCTGCATCTTTCAAACAACTGACAGAATTGTGCAGTTGTAGACCGGCTGGAGAGAAAACTCGATAATAACGTTGATCCACGAGCGGGATTCAAACCTAGCAACCCTGTCTTTCTGGGACAGTGCCCTGCCCATTAGACAACCGGGGATCACAAGCACACACACCCGTGGCTCCTTCTTGCTACAATATTTTTAAACGTCTAACCTTGGATACATGTGCAAATATGTCAGCGATGATTCTCATTGACGGTTCCGGTGGATAGATGTAGGTATTGCGGACCATGAACTCTTTAAGGATGTCGTTCTGGATCGTACCGGATAACTTGGACGGATCCACACCCTGAATTCAAACAGAAAGACGTGCAGGCACATGCGCACACGCACATACGCGCGCGCAGACACACACGCACATACGCGCGTGCAGACACACACGCACACACACGCACCCGCACACCCACACACGTACACACGCACGCGCGCACACACACACACTCACACACCCAGACCCACACACACCCAGACCCCCACACACACGCACGCACACAAGCACGCGCGCGCACACACACACACACACACACACACACACACATGCACACACACATACACCTTGAACTTGACCTTGAACACCCATCCACAATCAAGATGCTAGCGGTGTCAGACAGAGCAGAAGCGGGAATGTCTCTTGAAATCTCCAGGGCGGGGGAAGACACGACCGCATACGCAGCAACATTCCTTCACCACCAACCAGTGAATTTTCGATTCAGTACAATGTCATGTCCTATGCCATAGAATTGTTTTTCTTTCTTTTGAAACGTGGATCAAAGCTCTTTTTCGGGCAAAAGAAACGCAATGGATGAAAATGCAATACAAAGGCAAGCCCAGAAAACAAGAAAAATAAGAAGAGGTTTTCGCGCGTACCTGCTCCTCCCCAGCCACAATAAACATTGCCAGAATAGGCAGGACTGCACCGTTCATCGTCATGGATACGGAGATCTTGTCAAGTGGAATGCCATCAAACAGGACCTACGGGACGCACAGACATATTTTAAAAAAAGCGTGCAGACACACACACACACACACATACCAAAGCATACAAATAAATACTTGGAGGTAGGTAGATGCACAGACACGCATGCACACACGCACACACAGGAAAAGATCGAGCAAAGGCATACATTGGCACAAGAAACAAACTGTAGTGCTGCTCAACGGAATCCAATCACGCGAGTCAACAAGTACGCACCGAGCGCTGGGCAGCCCCAGACCTGCAAACATTGGGCTGTGCACTGGTGCAGGGCACTGTGCAGTCCCAGACCTGCAAACACTGGGCTGCGCATGGGTGCTGTGCACCGATTCCGTCAACATGTCATCATGAGATAGGATATCAATTATCAGCAGCGGCGGATCCAGCGATCTCTACAGGGGGGGTTCCAATATAGTCAAAACTGAATACTGAGTAGCTGATACATGTGCTAGTACATGGACACGCATCTGGTTGCCAGTAGTACATTTATGAAATTTAGGGGGTTCTGCGGAACCCCTGGAATGCCTCCTGGATCCGCCACTGATATCACTGAACAACACTGTAGTTATGACAAGACAGGCCCGGCGGAACCGGTCCGGTTGGTCAGGCCATGGCCGGACCAACCTTTTGGCCACCAACGTGTGTTTACTGCTGAGGAGGTCATGTGTATACTAGTACCCTCCATATCATACACAAACTGTATGAAAGTCATGTGTATACCCTCCATATCATACACAAACTGTATGAAAGTCATGTGTATACCCTCCATATCATACACAAACTGTATGAAAGTCATGTGTATACCCTCCATATCATACACAAACTATATGAAGACTAGGGTATGGCAGGACCAATCAAAAAAAATTTAAAACCAGTCCTGCAAGCCTATCATCACAGCACTGGCAGTACAAGTTTGTCATGTACCTTCATGTCTTCCACAGTATCAATAGCCACACCAGCCATACCAACATCACCCAGGACACGCGGATTGTCAGAATCATATCTGAAGTAGGAACATAAAAATGAACAAACAAAACAGGATGATACAGTTGAGAAGAGTGCAAACAGGGTATTTCCCCTGTGTCAAAGTCACACCAGTGCAGGCCTGTGCATGCTTTACTTAAAAAACTGGTCCCTGGCACTAGCCTGACGCCATTCTCCATCGTACTCCCCCTGGCCTGTATACAGATATGACGCCGAACACAGCGGCAAAGACAACAGCAAGACTGGCTAGCATTTAATACAGTGTAGCAGACCAAGCAGACCAAGGCAGACCAAGGCAGCAGCAGTAACGGCAGCAGCAGTAACGGCAGCAGCAGCAGCATCAACACCACCAACAACAATAGCACTAGCAGCAGCAGCACACCGCTATAAAGACTTACCCTCGATGCGTGGCCAGATCAAAGGCTACACTCAAACCTTGCTGACCGGCTGCAAGATTCTTGCGATAAAACTTGTTGCTCTCTTCCACTGTGCTGAAGCCAGCATACTATGCACATGTATGGACATACGCACACACACACGCACACACACACAAACACGCACGCGCGTGCGCATGCACACCCGCACACATACATGTGCATAAACACAAGCTAGCAGACGTGCCACTGGTTCCTAGCTTACACCTCAAATAGACCTCCCACGTACTTGTAAACAACATTCCCGAATAGGCCTTCAGCTGCACAAAATGAACAAACTACCGATATTTCGCCCATTGGGCATCATCAGGTCATTGGCCTGGTTAATGAGTGGGTGCGTGTGTTAGGCCTAGCCCAAATTTGCCGGCAATTCTTCCAGCAAAATATCGAAATTTCCCACGAAAAGAAATTGCTGGCAAGTTCCGAGCAAAATATCGAATTTACAGAGGATCCGGGTGTGTTTTGGCGATTTTATTCAAATTTCTTTGGTTTCATTGGGCCAACGTAGTGCTGAAGTAGCTCGTGCAGGTTGTCAAGGGTACATAAATTTGAAATCATGCTACAAAATCCGGAATACTGACACCATTATAAGTTTTGCTTTCCTCATTAGAGTCACCATCCACTTTTACCAAAGTAGACGGTTCATTCGAAGCCATTTTTGCCACAAAGCAGGAGCAAAATGGAGCAAATTATCGGAAACGAAAGGCAATGCCAAGCAAAATATGGAAAGTGCTAGGGCAAAATTTGCCGGCAAAATATCGAAGCGCCCCGAGCAAATTTGGGCTAGGCCTAGCGTGTGTGCGTGATCACGTGACTGATCACATGACTGATCACATGACTGATCACGTGACTGATCACATGACCGATGACCCAGGTAAAGAGCAGGCATAGCGAGGGTCCGCAGCTACTACTAGTACTGTAGTAGTAGTTTACCTGTCTGATTGTCCATGGTCGCTGAGTGTACATGGTGGCATAGGGGCCGCGCGTGTAAGGGTATTCCCCAGGTATTTCGTCCTGGCTGTCGGGAACGTCATTCTTCGTGTACACTGGCCTGAACGTCACACCCTGAACAGAGATGGACGGACAGACGGAGGGACGGAAAAAACAGACGGACGGATGAACCAACAGACACACAAGCAAACAGACAGACGAACAAACAGGCAAACAAACGAAAAAACCGGACATACATAGAGGAAGAACAGATGACAGGCACCGTGCAAAAAGGCAAAACAAAGTATAAATCTTCTCAAGTCCCCCCCCCCCCCCCCCCTACATACACACATACATGAGCCACTAGGGCACATGCCTTGGCAATTTCAAATACCTACCACATGTTCTGATTATAGAAAGCCTGTTATTGTGTCGAACACTACTACTGCTTACAGGGTACTTACTCAATGCACATAGCTATTGAGCACTCAAAGCAGTCTGGAATTCTGGACCCTGGAATTACATGCGTGTGAGTGTGTGTGTGTGTGTGTGTGTGTGTCCCATATGGTGCAGTGGTATGTGCAGCGATTTCCAATCGATAGGTTGCGGGTTCGATTCCCGACGATTATGGTCACACACGTCTTTCTTCTCTTTCTCAGACTCTTCCTGACTTTTCTTTCATTCTCCTGGGTGGTTACCAACAGCCAGTGCATGCCGGAGTATGTGGTGTGATGTGTGTGCGGGAAAAAAAGAAAAAAAGAAAAAGACCAAAAATAGGGATTCACTGGCCAGAAAAGGTCACTTCAAATAGCTGTATGGTGTAGACCAGGCTGAATAGTGACGGTCAATTCTATAGCCTTGCAAGCTGTTGAATGGTGCAATCCCAGCACAAGTTGCTATGGCTTCTGCCGTAGCATTGCTATCATCGCCTCTGGCGATGGGCGTCAAAAAGTGAAGGTCAAAGGTCAAAGGTGTGTGTGTGTGTGTGTGTGTGTGTGTGTGTGTGTGTGTGTGTGTGTGTGTGTGTGTGTGTGTGTGTGTAAGCGTGTATGTACCTCACTTCCAGCGCAATGTTTCGCGCAGAACAAACTGAAAACAGACAGGGAAATGTGTAGGCTGGGCATCACTAGTGAACCTAAAAATGTGTACGTGTGTGTGTGTGTGTGTGTGTGTGTGTGTGTGTGTGTATGTGTGCGTGCGAGTGTGTGTTAGTGTGTGTGCGAGCGTGTGTGCGTGCGAGTGCGTGTGTTCCTCACCTCGGGCGACTTCCAGTGCAAGGTGTCGCGCAGGTCCTTGCCACGCAGCTCCTTCTTGGCCAGCTCATTCCAGCGATCTTGTGAGGTGGTGGTGGACGAAGCACTGCGTGTTACTTGACAAGTATTCTGCACCAAACCAAAACCAACATAGAAGCGCAAGCATTGACAGATGACACAATAAGCGACTACACAACAAATGGAGTGTTAGTATTTGTTACAAAACATGATTGTGAAATAACAAACAAGGCCGGTCTAGGCAGCTCGAGGTAGAGTGCTCAATGCACGAATGTGCAGAGCAGTATACACACACAACAGAGGCGAAAGGCTGTGTTAATGTTAGCTGTAACTTTAAGTTTCATTGTGAAATATGTTTACTAGAGACAGACACATTAATTTTAGTATTAGTATTAATAATTACCCCCCCCCCCCCCCCACACACACACATGTGCAGGCAGATAGACAGACAGACAGACAGATACACACACACACCCCACACAGACAAACACACCATCCCCCCCCCCCCCCCCACACACACACACTTGAGCAAGCACCAGCACAAAGAGTACACTCTCCCATAATAGGGAGGTTTCGTTCTACGTAATCCAGGGAGCGAGGGCAACTTTCATACGTAAATCTCTCCACGGATTTCCATAGGAAAGCTGTTTCCTACGTTGGGTCCTCCGCATCGCGTAGGACTTTTAGAAATATTTTTCGCATTTTCCGGATTTCTCCATGGCAACGTTCAAGCCGCACGACACACAAGGTACACACCACGTGGAAAACAAAATGGAAACGCGGTTTCGGTTCGTGATGCATGTGGTGGGCGCATGCAGCCAACGCGTCTCCAAAGCAACAAGGCATGCTTAGCAGTCGTGGAAAAATGATCACGTAGAGCGAAACTCAACAGCGCTGATTTTTATGTATGAAAATTACGTGCAGTTCCCACGTTATTTTCATACGCATAGTAAAACCTGTCAAGGCGACCACTCGAATAAAGCGACCACCTGTCCTAGAAGACCACTGAAACCAGCACCAAGGGATGCTATTTCCAGTCAAATGACCCTGGATAAGGAGACCACCTGGTAAAAGAGACCGGGTTTAGAAGGTCCCTTGAGCGGTCGTTTTAGACAGGTTTTACTGTAATTACGTAGAGCGAAACCTCCCTAATATGCTGTGTCTACCCGTTACCAGGGCAACAAGTTCAGTGCACTGGTGTTAGACGAGATAGGGACTTTCCCTGCCCCCAAGTGGCCATAGAGTTATGACTGTAGAGTGTGGACTGCACACTGGGGGAGAAAAAAAGCTCCACAGACAGTAAGAGTGTGCCATTCAGGAGGGATCGTTGAGGGAATTTCTTCATAATCATGTTGGGAATCTTGCATAACTTCACTCTGACTGAAAACGCCTAATCAATAAGAAACGGCTGCACTGTAGCGTCTGCAAGTCTTGGCCATCCTCTAAGGCTAACATGAAGCCCAACTGCCACACTTTCTCTTGTGAATTGAATATAATTATATTGCTTAAGTTACCTCAGACCCCACATGAGATCAGATCAGCCACAAAATTATTATTTTACTTCCCCAAGCACATGTCCCAACCCCATCTTCATATCTCTGTGATTTTACTTGACAAGAAAGTCATACTCGATTGCAGGTTGCGCCGTTCCTTGGCCTCCGTGTTTCGCGTGGAAAAAATTCGGGGGGGGGGGGGGGGTGTGATTCATCCTCAGATCAGCAATTCAGCAGCAGCTGGACTGCAATCAGCCTACTTGGTGTCAAAAGTCACAGGACATCTGCCAGTGTGTGTGTGTGTGTGTGGTCCTACATCCTGCTCGCAACCCAGTCTGCATGAACAGTGCGGAGACAGCATGAGGCACGAGCAGAAGTACCAGTGTTCTCTCGGCGTGAATTCAGAAATCAGCGCCAGAAGCTGGCGCTAAAAACACAGCTGGCCACACTTAGCGAAGCGACAAGGCTTCTCCCAAAGCGACAGTCGTTTTAATTTCCAGTGCAATATTATGGAAAAATCTAGTTCAGTTCGGCCTTAGAAAGGGCTCTAGCTCTGTGCACTTGGCTGCACACAAGTGTAATGTCAAATAACAGAAATCTACAATTTTGATGATTGACTATCAGCCAATAAGAACAGGGAGAGGCCATTTGCGGGTCCGTGAGTACAAGCTGGGCGTGCTGGTGTTCATTGATTGAGTTATGACTAGAACCTGTCCACGGCACAGTACTAGTATGTAGGAGAGTGAATATGCAGCGAAATCCCTGTTTCAAACACTGCAGCCCAAATTTAGCAATGCTCTTTGAGTTGGTGATATGCAGTGAGGTCTAGCAAAGCTGTCGTTCTTACTTGCAACAAGCCGGAGCGTGATGCAGCACGCACGACCCTCCACGACCTCAGCATGGCCAGGTAAGGCACTGTCCACAAACTGAAAATGATATTTACTGGGGTCAAAATGAATGAATTGCAAAATTCTCAACAAGTCTTCACTGAACATGAAACGTCAGCTATCTCGAACAAACGGCTTGGTGGGTGAAAGCAAGCAGAGAGATTGAGTGGAGGCTCTCTGGCAACAGCTCAATGAAGCCACAACATGTAGACTTTATTTTTCTCAGGTATTGACTTCACAGTCTCAGCGATCCTGTCATGTCGAAGGGAAGTTGAGAGTCATGCAGGAGAAAAAAAGTTCGATCCGGATTCGAGTGCGCATAAGCTCGCTCATTCTCATACATAATAATTATACATGTGCGTTGGTCGGAGACCGGAAAAAGAAGAAAAAAATCAGCGCCCAACGTGGGGCTCGAACCCACGACCCTGAGATTAAGAGTCTCATGCTCTACCGACTGAGCTAGCCGGGCTGCTTGAAAACGTAAAGTTTGACTAGAGATTTCAAGGACAGTCACTTCTTTTGGTATCATGCACATACTGTGACATAGTCATTCGCTGAGGAGTAGTAAAATTCCGGTATTTTACTATTCACTGCAGCTCCTGAACATTCAGCGGGGGGGGGGGGGGGGGGGGGGAGGAGAGGAAGGCTAGATTAGAGAGTCGTCACCGAAACGTTTGGATACAACTACCTGGGGTAGATCCACCAGCCAGAGACCAAAGGCCGAAATCCCATTTGCCACGTCCATGTTACCCTTGCAAAGTTTGTATTGTCATGTCAGGGGCGTAGCAGCCGCTCCGGCCGGACCACTTTTTCGCCCGACCACGACCACCATAGTAAAACAATGCCAAAAGTGCCCAGAATGCAGGATTTTGCACCCTAATTTCACCGAAGGATGTACCCAGAGTGCTGACAGTGCTCAACACCACAAAGGCAGAGCGTAATACACAACAGAACAACAAGGACAATCAAGGCTTGTTTGCTGCTACTTTAAGTTTCATGCGTGAGCATGACACCCTAATTTCCAAAAAAATTACGGGGGCAGATCCCCCGAACCCCCCCCCCCCCCCCCCGGCCGGACCACCGCCAATGGCGGTGCTACGCGCCTGCATGTGGCATTTGCCAGGCCACAAGTTCTCTATCTCCGCCCCGATTATGATGGACTCTTGAAAAAATGTCATCCAAAGTCTTGCACCAATTATTGTATGTACCAGAGGGAGTCGTAAAAGTCGTAGGTATTTTACGACTCTCTGGTGGTATGTACCCATGTGAAGGACGACCAACAGTCATGTACACAAATCGTAGTACATGTCACACAGTCATGTACATGTACAGTGCTCCTCAATGAAATCCAGTCGCGTCACTCAAGTACGCGCCGTGTGTTGTGCAGCCCTAGACCTGCGAACACTGCGCTGCGAAATGGTGCAAGGCGCAAACTTGAGTGATGGGACTGGATTTCATTGAGCAGAAGTCTGGACTGTAGATAAAATACACATGTATAGCAGCTGCGTAAGACTGAGTACTAGGAACAGAAGCCCCCGCGATGATGGCACAAACATTGGAAAGACGGAAAGGAGTGTGCAGTGTTCTAGCTAGGACAGAAAAATACACCTGGTAGCCGGAGCTGCGAACACTGGGGTGTGAGCTGGTACGTGCAGGGCACAAACTTGACTCGTGCCCGTATTGGATTTCATTGAGCAGCACTGTATCCAGTCACATGCTGCAGGTGACGTATGCACAGATAGCACAGTATAGGCCTTGGCGGATAATGCCGGCAGAAAAATTGGCAGAATTCGATACTTTTTCTGGTACGTTTCATGCATGTTTGGTATGTGGATAAAGAAACGGAGCAGAATTCGAGGAATTGCCCGCCATACGGTTTGTATGGTTCTGCCAATTTCACTGCTTTTCGAGCAGAATCTGCCACCTTTTCGAGCAGAATCCGCCAAGGCCTAGCACAGTACATGTATGTACAGTCAAACCTGGTGTAAAGGACCTCTCGTTTTAGCGATCACCTGCTCTTAAATTAACGACCGTTTTTCCATGCACAGCCATTTCTACACAGACGGCACTGTGGGACCTGGTTCTAAAGACCACCTGGCTTTAACGACCGCGTTTGCTTGCAGCGTGGGGTGGTGGTTTTATTGTACTATTAGTGGTCATCCTTTCCTCCAAAATTCCTTTTCAACTTTTTTAAATGATGGCACCAACATTTCGTGATCATAGATGATGGCGATGATCACATTTTACGCAAGTTCAAGACTCAAAACGGACGTTTTTCAGGGACTGTTCGTGGAAGGAGTACTAGAAGATTCATTGCTAGAAGAGTTAGACATTCTGTGTGGGGGTGAATTATTGGAGTTACAGTATACATGCATGCACATGTAATGTTACATGCAGTGATGCCATGGCCAAATGCATCTGGGTCTCATGCAGTGCAGGTGGACCACGGCAGCTGCACTGCATGCAAGAGTACATACTAGGGAGTACGACTGTACTCTTGCTACTACACGTACTGTAACAAACGGCTACGGGACCACATGCACGGCACACATCTGCGCTGTTCTAGGGCCGAGCGCGACGTCGCACCATTAAACATGCACATTAATTTTCTGTTTTCTTTGGCCATGCGCAGCTCACAATAATAATAATAATGGTCTAGGTCACAAGCACGATCAGGGAGTCGTCCTGACAAGCACCATCAGGGAGTCGTCCTAACAAGCAGCATTTAGTTGGTTCATTAGAACATGAACTTCGCATGGTGGGCTACATCACCAATGCAAGTTGCCGACTCTGCAGCTACCCAGGCGTCTGTGTACAGGATTCTGTATGCACTTCTATGACACTACTCTCCCCCCCCCCCCCCACACACATGCACGCAGGTGTAGTTCAAGCCACACAGTTATTACGATTGTATCCAACACGGTAGTCACTAAACTGTACAATGCAATAAGTAGGTCTCAAAGATACACCGGGGCACACAGGGTACGTACGCAGCACGGGGTGCGCCATACCGGCATGCGGGGAAACAGCGGCAACAGCGATGGGGAGAAGCAGACAAAAGCAACTACATTACATTACAAATACCAGCATTTTATAAAAGCACAACGATCGACAAAGCAAGAGGGATGAACAAGCAGATACGCGTACACACATGCATCACTGTCACTGTCGTAGCAGACTTTCCATGACTACGTGGTGCAGTCCAGCGAAAGAAAAGCACGCAGGGAGCTACTTGCCACTTGTGCAACTACGCGGGGGGAGATAAAGACACTGACAGGCAGGCTTTGACACGTCATTCAGTGTGTGCTCTGTCAGAGTTTCTGAAATACTAGACGGGGGGGGGGGGGGGGGGGGGGCAGTGAACTGATACAAGTATAGGGTCATCAATCGAGGTACAAAACGAACAACGTTAAAAAAAGGATAATTATTCCAGCTGTCGTGCTGAACTACAGAAACACCCACAGCGTAACATCTACACACGCACAAACACGTACATACTTACATACCTATACGTATACACATGTAGCAGGTCTTCACAAAACCAACAGGCGTACAAGACCAGCAGCAGCAGCAGCGAAAGCTGGAGAGGAAGGCAAGGCTCGTGGACAACTAGCTACCTAGCCAGCTGCAGCAGTGTTTCAACCATTCAGTCATTCAACAGCTGTCTGCTGAGTATGGTGTCGCCGGGACAAACTCTTCGACACGGGCGAGAACGCAAGTGCCAACGACTTAGCAAAACTGCAGGAAGAACAGATGACAAGGAGACACACAGAAAACACATAATAACATGGTAACCAGGCCAGGTAGGACATATAATTGGCAGGACGGGACTCAGTTAAAAAAAAGTTCTATTCCAGGCAAAACAGAATTTTCAAAACCAAAAAGGCAGCAAGACTGGCTCAGATCTTTCCAGCTTGAGCTGGACTGGCTTGGGTTAGAATTATTACTACAGTAAAACCCGGTGTAAGCGACCTCTGGGTTTAGCGACCACCTGCTCTTACCGACCGTTCTTCCATGCACGGACAGTTCTGCACAGACACTGCGGGACCTGGGTCTAAAGACCGTCTGGCTTTAACGACCTCTTTTGCTTGCACCGTGGGGTGGTCGCTTAACCCTTTGGAAATGCACTGATCACACGACGTCGGGAGATAGCCGCAATTGCAAGTATATTCGTTCCAATTTCCATCATAACGCTGGTTCTACTACACCGATTTTGACGATCTTGGGCTCGTTGGAAAGCTCTTGGAACGAGGATAACAGCGAGCCCAAACTCATTCAGGAGAGCGATTGCTGTCTGCTACTGAATGCCAGGAACGCCAGCTGAATACCAAATCCAAACCGGGAATAGTCCTTGTCTCGCCATTTCACTCGTGCTAGCTCAAAATCATTCAAATTTTTTCTAACAGACTCACAAAAGCCGTGACAAAAAGCGCAGGGAGTGATGTCACACGCTGCGTGGGCAGGAAGAGGGAAAATCCCACTTTTGAACGAAATTTGCACTTCGCTGACGCATGAGAAATCGAGCGAACGTTCGAGCACTTGCCGCTCTGTTATACTAGCTTGTATCGACCCCGGAGTTTTTCGAGCCGACAGCTTAGATTCTCTGCTACCTCGTAGGTATTTCGATTGTTGAATTCGGTTGAGATTTGACTTAGTTGTGACTCGTTGAGTGCACTTGCACACATGACATTGGCATCGTTCGAATTCGAACGATCACCTCCAAAGGGTTAAACCATGTTTTACAGTATTACTATGACCTCACTGGCAGGATGTGTGAGTTAAGCATTAAGCCTAAAAGGAACCCTCATCATAATTATGTGAAGATGGAGCATTGAAACCCTCACCTTCCATCTATGGCCGCAATGCTGACAGAAGACGAATGTTGTCATCGGTTCATCAGAGCTTCTTGTCTGAAGCTATAGCACAGAAGAAAACACAGAGGCCAGTACAGTGTGAAGTGCATTGTACATATCGTACTGGCGAGCACTCCATTGTACATATCGTACTGGCGAGCACTCAATAGAGAGGTTCCGCACTACGTAAAGTTGAGCAACTTTACGCTAGTGGGCGGGAAAAACCCGTGAATTCGCGAGTTTGCACTCCACTTACGGAAAGTTGTCTACGTAGAGTACATAGATAGGGCTCTGATAACGTAGCTGGTCCGTAAGTGGATTGGGGTACAAATTTATGACTCTCTCCCCAGGTCGATCTGGTCGTACACTGCCGCGTTCGGAGTTGCCAAGGGCAGCTACGTGATTTGAAAACTTCGTATGGCGGAACACAGATGCGCATGCAGTTTACGTAAGACTTTCCGTAGATAGACTACGTTTTTTTACTAACGCGATTACGTTATGCGGAACCTCTCTAATGATAGGTACAACATACATGTACTAACAATGAAAGCAACGGGTAACGGGGAATGTGTGTGCATGTGTGTCTGCGTATGCTACACATGCGTCCGTGGTTGCGAAGGTCTCAACAAGCTTGATGGTCTTAGGAGGTACTGTTTGTTTTATGATACATCCACCACTCTTTTTGCGCAGAAGGATTGGAGTGTTGGCAATTCCAAACCCTCGCAACACCACCACACAATACTACAATACTCCACAGTCCACGGCAAGCGTTCTGTCATAAGCAACAGGCATTATGATCAGTCAATCAGCACCATCAAGTCCACGATGAAAGTCACAGGATATCTGGCAGCGTATGGCCCTGCATCCTACACACAAATCCCGTCTGCATGGGGAGTGCGGAGACAGTATGCGGCGCGAGCAGCAGCAGCAGCAAGGCAGCAGGGCACGCTTTCGCTGCTGCTGTAGCTAACCTGGTTGTAAGTACACTTGCGTTGCTTGCACTTGCTGCACTTGAGCAGATCGGTGGTGGTGCCGCTGTTCACGCTCATCTGAGCATCGCGCACGCCTTCCTTGGTGAAGTGCTGGCGTAGCTCCTTCATCTTGTCACTGGCCATTTCCTACGCAGACAAAACGGGCATACATTGTAGGAAGAACGACCAGGCTAGAATTTCACCAAGCACAGCATACCAATGTACACACGGTGACTCAGCTGTGCAGAGACTGCAATACATTAAAATAAGAACGGTCTAGGCTAGGAGGCCGACTCCCCCAGTTCTTCGGCGACCGACAGTACCGTAGCGAGAGGTCTATATAGGGAACCTACCTCTGCCGTCATCTTGGCAAGCTTCTCCGGCGAGATGGCACCAGACATAACGTTAGCGCACAGGCTCGGGTTCTTCGTGTCTTGCAGATTGGCCACGCGACTGCGAACACGATTGCGATACTTACTGTCCAGCTGAGGCATCTCCGAGCAGATAGGTAAGCAGAGGACGGAGAAGTCAAGGCAAGCACTCTTTCCATTACATAGGCACGGCATACTAGTCGTAATGCTCAATATCAATCACTATCGTCTCAGCCTAAACCGAATGTAGCCGCTGGGCGGGAAAGGTCCCCCCCCCCCCCCCCCGTACACTGGACAAGAGGTCCAGCCGAAGGAGGCGCAGTGCCCGCCTTCTCTGATTGAGTGCTCCCTAATTATTTGTTGATTGTTGTGTTTTTCATGCCATTCAATGAAAATGCAGTCGATAGTCAATTTGGGAAAATGGAAAAAATGGGGCCACCATTACAGTACTATTTTGAACTGGCTAGAACCCTGCGGAGCAACAACACCCCACTCCAAACAAACAAACAAACCTACCCACATCCACAACCAACCGGATGCATGCCAGTACGTGCACAAGACACACACACACACACACACACGCACACACACGCACGCACGCACACACACCCCAAGCACATGACAAGAGGATATCTTCTTCGATCGACAGAGCAGTGCGCTGGCAGTGGTCCTCTAAAGGCAGGAAGCAAAACAAACAAAACAGATACGCAAGTCACACTACAATTTGAAGAATTTTCCTCTCGCTGAGGGTGTTCAATGCGCGGACGCTCTTGAATCGACTGGCTTTCGGCTGGCATTACCGTGACATCAGAAGTCAAGGTCTTCGGATCGCGATTCGACATTGAATCATGTAAGCAGGCAATAGCAAACATCAGTACGTACGGTACCACACCAAAACAAAGCAGCTAAACTATCACTGTATGATATCACTTGCAGGCATACGACAGTTGCAACCAAGTTACAAATACCTCTTAGACATTTCGGGCCAGAAAGAGGTGAGGTGCTTCTTACGAGGCGGTTAGATGCAAGCTCAGAACAGCACCAATGAAGTCAATGGTATACCGATCAATAGTAGCACAAACCTCAGGCTCTTCAACAACAAGGTTTTCACAAGTAAACTTTCGTGCCTTCTCTTGTTTACGTGTGAAAATCAGGTGCCCCCGTGCTCCACGCGAGCTATGCGCCTGAGTACTATAAATGGTTTGTGACATTCAGCCAACTTACCATCGGCATCCTCAGAGTTCTTCTGCATGGCCCTACACAGCATCTCGACGCACTTGGATCGTACTGGGTTGCTGGGCATGGGCAAGGTCGGCACGAACTGTGAGCGTGCAGAGAATTCTGCCGACGCCGACTCCGCTGCACGGGAAGCGAACACGAAACAAATACCGGACAAACACAACATTATTTTACAAAGAGGAGGGAACATCATCAGAAGAGCGCAAGGTACAGAGCGGTGAATGAAACACAGCTATGACACGGAAACCGCTTTAGGAGCTGCATCCGCGCCTTGATCCTTGAGGGTGGCGGCGTTCCTGCGGACGTGGAAAACTAGGTCTAACCGAGTATCACGCGAATCGTGTTCATTTACGACACGGAAATACATGTAGCATCATACATACAGACGTAAGGGGTCATCCATAAATATCGAAGTTTTTTTTTCACAAAGCGGAATAATTTCGTTATGGGGTGGGAGGGGGTTGTGTACATGGCCATAGGAGCAGTGACACACTTGCGACTTTTGCATGTTTTATGTCAACATTTTGTTTACGTTTTGAGGGGGAGGGAGGGAGGGGTTGGGTCCAAACTAAAATCATTTGTTTGGGGGAAAAAGTTCGATATTCAAGGACGGCTCCTTAGGAAGAAACACGACTCTGTCTGGCACACATCTACCACCCTCAATACAACTCCAGTACAGACTCCAGGAGGCAGAATGATGGCTTTAACTGGTTCAGATTTTTCTGGATTCGAAAGCGACCCTTACTTTTCACCGATGCTGTTGTTTCCGCAGGGCTCGCTGGCTCTTGTTTGGGTGGGACGTTGGGGGAGTCTCCCATGGCTACTGGTGAGTCTGAGTTGCTCTTGGACTCCGGAGGGTCTGCAGAGCTGGTCTTGCCTGCCTTGCTACCTTTGTTAGATGCTATAGCAAGTAAAACACGCGTACACACACAGATTATGTACATACGCACACACACATACACACATACGCACACACATACACACATACGCGCACACACACACACACACACACACACACACACACACACACACACACACACACACACACAAATGCACACATAATCATGACGAGGACGTTAGATAGGTGCTGCGATTACAACATATCAGGTGAGATGTGTTGGCCAAGTCGCGGACCCCCTGCACTGTGATGCACTAGGCCATGTGAAGCCGCTGCTGGCTCACGCTGTGTACTTACCTCCCATAAGTGGTGCCTCTGACTCACGCTGTGTACTAAAGGGTCGTCGCAAAAGTTTTTCGTTGGGCCATTAGAAAAGTGTCCTTATTAGCGAAGTGTCCTTATATCCGCAATCGTTATTAGCGAAGTGTCCTTATATCCGCAATCGTTATTAGCGAAGTGTCCTTATATCCGCAATCGTTATTAGCGAAGTGTCCTTATATCCGCAATTGTTATTAGCGAAGTGTCCTTATATCTGCAATCGTTATTAGCGAAGTTGCCTGTATACAAGTGACCAGCACTTCAGCAGTCACCGACTCTGAAAGCTGTTGAGTTCTACAACACCAATGTGCTATCACATACACACACACACACACACACACACACGCACACACACACACACACACCACACGCAAAACAAGCCAAGGAGCACCACCACGCGTCCACGCCACTGCTTTACCTGAATCCAGCATCTTCTTCCACGCCTTGATGAGCTTCTTAGCCAGAGTGGACACATCACTGCTGGACGTCTGCTTGCGGATCTTGTTCACACTCATTCCTATCCTCGTTTTCTGCACCAATAACCCAGGAGTCAAAGAGAAATGGTGAGCACATGATGCTCTTTCCTTGGACACTGCAAATTCACAACTCAGTTCACAGTGTGCTAACCCAGTAGGTAGCAACAACATAATTATGTGCCATTGCTACATGTGTGGCAGCTGCAGCTAGAAACAAGTCATGTGGACCAAAGCATAGCAGTTGTTGGAAGTACTGGCGGTCACCAATTGCACAAAGGTTGATTCCTGAACATGACATGGGTAACCAGCTCAAAGCACTGAATATCACTGCAGATGAAAATATGTTGACTTTACGGTGTGCACATGTGTTTGTACATGCATGTACGTGCCTGAATGCGCCTACATTTGATGCGGTCTGTGCGCGTGTGTGCGCGCTCATGCCAAGGGTGTGTGTACGTGTGTGTGTGTGCGCGCGCGTGTGAGAGTTTGTGCGTGCACGCGTGCCTGTTGTTCCAACATGATTTATTGATGTGCATCATGGATGTGAGTTTGACATGCACTTCGAACATTTAGAACGTATCGTGAAATGCTGAGGCTTGCCATGATCTTTCAGGCTGAGATCATCCTCAGTCCCGGGTCTTACAATGCAGTTTGGACAAACTATACCAAGATAGATTCGTAAACGTCCACACAGTCTCACCTCCAAATCCTCCAGAGAGATTGACTGACTCTGCAGAACCTTCAGCAGCTCCAGGGCCTGAGCGTCATCCTAACAATGAAAGCAGCGAACGTAACACAAAAGAGATTCCTGGCCTCCGATTCCGATGCATGGTACATGTACGCGAACAACCAGCCGTTGGTCAACGTGGGACTATCCTTACCAGAGAGTCCTCCGTCATCATCTTCTCCAGCTGCTTGCTCACTTTCATTACATCCATGATGGACAGTCAAATCTTTACGTGCACACACGTCTTGACTTCTACACTTTTAGAGAATGTTCTCAGAACGTTTTTTCTTGGTTTCGTATGATGGCAACGCCTGCCGCGCCCCGGGTTCAAACAGGGTATCACCTACGCTAGACTGGAAGCAGTTTATGATTGGTCCTCCCTGCTCTAGCACACACGACTCTCTCCAGTGAGAAAGCAAGACTTTCCACAGACTGACTTGACTGCAAAATAGCTCGATGCCGCTGACATGAATGAGTTCAGATCTTTTTGCACAAGAACCTGCAAATTTTAGCCGCCCAGGTGAAAATCCAAACAATAGAAAGAAATGACGTAACTACAGTCCATTCAGAAAAAAATGAACTTCTAGCTTTTGGCCATAAATGGGTCAAACGTTGAGTTTTTTTAGAATTTTTTTCTGCAATCCCATATGGAATCCTCTTCCAATTATGTTTCTGAAGTTTTTTTGTCCAAAAAGCAAGCCATAGCAAGAATAGGATTTCGGCCAGGTTTTGCCCCAAAAGCACTGAATTGGGAAAAACCATCAAAATCCAGGCCGTTTGACCCCGCCTGCAACAGTGCATTCTGCGGTTCGAACCCCAGTTCAGGCACCCTTTTTGGACCCTTTTTCAAATTTCAAAGTTCGCAGCACTGCACTGTGTACGATGAAATCACGAAAAATCGCCAAATACGGGAGCTCGCCAGAGCCAGGACCCATTTTTTTATGAATGGACTGTATGTCGCGGTAGCCAAGGAAACCATAATGATGTCGTCTAAGATTTGTACAAATTTTGAAGTACGTCGCACCGCGATTTTCAGTTTCTTGTCATGTCAGCTGATCTGTTTTGAAAATAATCTGTATGTAGAAGAGCTCTTTCAAATATTTCTTCAGAATGCAGTGGAGTTTCACGAGGCCATCAGTGATTTCTTCTCTCTTGGACGTTGCAGTGTTGCTCCTGACGGAGTTGTGATTCAACAATGGGAAAGAGGAAACGAAAAGTAAGAACGATGTGCTGTGCTTTTCTTCATTCGTTGTTTGCTTTATTTTCGACTTACTCCTCCATTGTGAATCGACCTATCGTTCCTAATAGTCAAGACATAGACCGACGATCTACGCAGTACAGTGTCGTTGTAATCTTCTATCAGGAAATACAGTGCCCACTCGCTCAGTCCTAATCCTCGGCTTGCAAAGGCTGAAATGGTCGCTTTTCTGCCTGCTTGGGGAATCAACCATCGCTTTGTTTTGTTTCCAGTCTTCACTCTTGTAATCAGATCCGGCAAATTTGAATTCAAATTGTACCATAGATATTTGACCGAGGTACACTGCGTAGATGTAGTAACTTTCAGCGATGTCTACGTCATTCTATTTATAGGATCTCAACCCTATGGGACTGAATAGTACCTAAGTCTACCCCCCCCTTCCATCCAGAGACACATGCCATCGAGTTTCCAGCCTCCCCTAATCTGAAAGTCGTATGAGCCAGGATCTAACCGTATCTTCAGTGGTCCATGCTTCTGTCTCTCTGGAAATGTCCCAGTATAAAGTTAGGTTAAAGGAACGTTCTCACTCGAGGGAAGTCTGGGATGGCAGGCCCCGAACACGGGTCATCACATACACCCGACAAGACCAGCAAAATCGAACGTGCGTTCGCACCAGTACGTTGGTGCTGGCGTGAAGAGGCCACCAATGTGCGTCAAAGATTTCAAAGCTCGATCGTAAATGCAAATCAGTCGTAGGTCTGTGCCATACTTTTCTCACTTTCTCTGAGCACTGCTTTCCTCAATGCAAAAACTCATGCATGGTCTAACATTCACATACCTAGTCTAACACTCCTGCATAGTCTAACACTCCTGCATGGTCTAACACTCCTCCATGGTCTAACACTCATGCATGGTCTTACACTCCTGCATGGTGTAACACTCCTGCATGGTCTAACACTCCTGCATGGCCTTACACTCCTGCATGGCCTTACACTCCTGCATGGCCTTACACTCCTGCATGGTCTAACACTCCTGCATGGCCTTACACTCATGCATGGTCTAACACTCATGCATGGCCTTACACTCATGCATGGTCTAACACTCATACATGGTCTTACACTCATGCATGGTCTCTATACTGCACAAGTAACATCAGGTTCACTGATCATTTTGCGCCTGGCAGCTTTACGCTGATGATGGGCCATGCCAGAAAAGAAGAGTACAGTCGTGCACATGGAACCCAGATTGTGCAGCTCGGATGGGTTGCTGGCACGGCGGAATTCCAGGATGACATCGTTTTTAGTGATGTAGTGGGTACACGCAGGATTCAAGCAAGTCTCCTACTGCACAACAGCAGCTATGCACTACGCCACTTTCTGCATTTGTAATCCAGGATTTCGCCGTACCACACGCCCATGCAGTAAAAGTCAGAAGATGCACATTCTTGGTTTCATGTACAGTAAACTTGGCTAATAACGACTGCGGAAAAAACGACAGTTCGCGAATAACGACAGAATTTCCATGCCCAGAGCAAAGTCCCATCCAACTGGAATACATACAATGAGACTTCGGGTATAACGACACTTCGCGAATAAGGACACTTTTCTGATTCCCCGCTGAGTGTCGTTATAAGCGAAGTTGACTGTACTCTTGCCCAAATTTTGGTGAACGTGGTGTGACTTTTGCTGGACAGAGACCATGCTTAGATCGAGGAAAGTAATGTGTCAACGGCTGCAGTGCAGTTTTCCAATTCTTAGAAAAGTCCTTCTGAGCATGTCCACCTTTCTCTGTAGTCTGCATTTCACATTTTCCGATCACAGATTCAATTTGGAATGATTCAAGTTGACATGCGGATAGCCTGCTCGACGGAGGCAAGCGTCGGCACCTGCTGAAGTTGATCTAGTGCTCCAATCATGCGAATACACGTTGGAATAGCTCCACCATGGCTGTTGCTCCATATTGAAAATAAAGAGCTCAGGCGTTTAAAAAAATAACTTTAGAACCGGTCTACTGGGTGTATGGACATCTGTTCTATTATTTGAACTCTTCTGTGCTGTATTGTTAGGCTGAAGGTGTGTGTGTGTGTGTGTGTGTGTGTGTGTGTGTGTGTGTGGTGTGTGTGTGGTGTGTGTGTGTGCGTGTGTGTGCGCGTGTGTGTGTGTGTGCGTGTGTGTGTGCGTGTGTGTGTGTGTGTGTGTGTGTGTGTGTGTGTGTGTGTGTGCGTTGTCGTGTTCCTGTGTGCGTTTTACCTGCAGCAACAAGCTAAAAGCGAGCAGGCAGAGAAAATGAAGAAAGTGGAGGTAAGGTGTATGTGTCGCACACATTTGTGTCTTGTGTGTCGCACACGTTTGTGTGTATGTGTGTGTGTGTGTGTGTGTGTGTGTGTGTGTGTGTGTGTGTGCCTAGCTCTATGTGGACTTAAGACAGACCTTTGGTAGGATGCAGCATACAGGGTACATGATATGAGGCGTGAGGATGGTGGTCTTTGTACAAGTGTGGGAAAGCCAGCGTCACTGACTATTACGCATGCCGTGAAATACAAGACACCTGCACAACGAGTAATGATCCGCGACATGTTGATAGTAGCGGCTTTTCGCCATGCACCCCGCATTCTCACGACCTCCTTGTCCTCTCTGTCTCCTGCTGAATTGCTTGCAGGCACCATTGCCTGAGGAGCTGCCGCACTCTATCAGTCTGATATTGCCAACTGCCGCTGTCACTGTCACTACCGCTGCTTGCTTTGCACTCTACGACGCTCAACTGTTGACGATTAGCCAGTGTGTGATGTTCATGGTGCTTGTTGCTTCTGCTGCTACTGCTCCCATGATACTTCTTCTTCTCTATCAGAAAGATGCGGCGGCTGCTGCTGCAAAGGATGGTGGAGGTAGTGGTGCTGCTGGTGCCACTGCTACTGCCGCTGCGTCCAGCGTTCCCGTTTTGACCAACAAGACCCAGTGGTGTTTTTCCAAGCGAGGGCCGCGCAAGGGTGGCACGTCTTTCCGCGTGAGCTCTTTAGAGATGTTGTGTTGCTCTGTGTGCATGTGTGTGTGTGTGTGTGTGTGTGGTGTGTGGTGTGTGTGTGTGTGTGTGTGTGTGTGTGTGTGCGCGTGCATGCGTGCGTGTGTCAAACATGTCGGTTTGGTATTTGTCTGTGCGGTGATTGAGTTTTGATTAGCTTCAAGACATGCAGGATTTGGCCAAACATGTCGGTTTGGTATTTGTGTGTGTGGTGGTTGGGTTTTGCTTAGCTTGCAGACATGCAGGATTTGGCCAAACATGTCGGTTTGGTATTTTTGTGTGTGTGTGTGTGTGTGTGTGTGTGTGTGTGTGTGTGTGTGTGTGTGTGTGGTTGGGTTTTGCTTAGCTTGCAGACATGCAGGATGTGGTCCTACGCGGCATAGGCTTTGACAAGTTCCGCAATCCGGTATGTTGCGAGCTGACCAATGCGGAGGCGATTCCCAGAGTGGCCATCGTGATGCTGTCGTCCATGACCACAGCGTTGTATGCCCGCGTCGGCGCACAGTTCACCAAGTGCAAGCCCTTCTTGGATGGAAATGTAAGATATCCCAGCTGTATAGGGTCTAGTGTTGTGTTGCGGTGCACAGCTCACCAAGTGCAAGCCCTTCTTGGATGGAAAAATAAGATGTTCCAGTTGTACAATGAGCTAGTGCCACCCACCCATAAAACGAAACTTTTCGTTTTGTGTAAAAGATTGATAATCATGGACCGGGTTCCACTGCGGCTCCGCTGCTCCGCGGCACTTGGCTGCATGCAGCAGAGCAGCCCGGTTCCACTGTGGCTCCGCTGTTCCGCGGCACCCGGCTGCATGCAGCAGAGCAGCCCGGTTCCACTGACACTCACCATTCGCGGTACCGCGGTCATGTTCCACGTTTTTGATGACGTTTTACCTGGCTGCGTGCGCGCGAAATCAAAAAATCCTCGTGTTCTGGCCTGCGCAACGAACTAATATTTGAATTTTAAAATTCTCGCATACAAAACACTGCAAAGTACGGGAAACAGGTCGAGCCGCGACCGCGGCTCATAGTTTTTGATCAAGAATCATAGCGAAAGATCGTGGTGAGCCGCGGCCTCGCTGCTCCAGCTCAAGCCGCGGTCACTATGGTAATGATGACGTTTCGAGCCGCGGATGACGAGCAGCGGAGCTGCAGTGGAACCCGGCCCTTATGTAGCGCGAAACCTCTGTATTAATTTGAAGAGCTGGGTTGCAAAGCCCGCTTAGGCCGTCATCACACCACGTTCTCCGACTCCCGTTTACGTCTACGTCTATGGTGAAAAAACCGAAACGGGTGGTCGTGTCATCAGACAGGCACAGTTCTTGACGCGCACACGCAGTCAGGTTTTTGGAGAAATTTGAACCCACGTACATCGAAGTACAGGGTCGCTCGGAAAAAGGCTGGGGTAGATACGCACGTTCATACAAAAAGTCGTATACCCCCCTCTCCATACCACGTCTACGTCTCCCGTTTCCTCTGCTCCCGTTTTCACCCCGTATACGGATCATCATGACAACCGACCAAAAACTCCTTACGTGGACGTAGACGCAGCGCTTTGTACCATGGTGTGATGACAGCCTTAATCCATTTTGCGTCAATTTTCAGTAGGACCACAGATCTGAATCAGGTCATTGTGTGCTTTCTGCTCATACCTATATCACTTTTTTATTGTTTTGGTCAAGAATCCATAAACAAGAGTATGCAATTGGGATCTCTTTTCTATGGGCCAGATGCGCGGCGCGCTGCCTTCATTACATCATTCAGCTGCAATCCACGCACTGCGGAAAATCAAACACCACACTTTTCCTCTGGTTTGAAATGAACTTTCGTATGGAACTGGAGTTCACGCGCCAACATTTAAAGATCGCGTGGGTATAGGAATGAATCGAGCAAAAACGGATGGGCTCGTACGAGAAATTTGGGTTTTGAATGCATGCTTTCAGAGCGTGATGCAGGCAAGTTACGTAATGAAGGCAGCGCGCCGCGCACTGACCCATAACCACAGTTGAATAGTCTTGTTTATGCACTCTTGGTTTTGGTGTTTGCAGTCCAGCTCTCTTGATGTACAGTACAGTACTGGCCAAAGAAATCCAACCTCATGAATAAAATAGCACCGGGCGCTATGCAGCCCTAGCACTACACCTACTGGTCTGTGCACTCAAACGCGGCTCTACTTTATTCATGCTGTTGGATTTCTATTATTGGCCAAAGAAATCCAACGCCATGAATAAAATAGCATTGCCGAGCACTACACAGCCCTAGCACTACGCACACTGGTCTGTGCACTCAAACGCGGCTCTACTTTATTCATGAGGTTGGATTTCTCTGGCCAGCACTGTAAGTGGGGTGAGGCTGACATTGCATTTTTGTGTCTGTGTTTGAATTCCCTGTAGTCATATCCGTTGCAGACGCCAGGCAGGGACAACTTTGTCGTACAGGACCTGGCCAAGTCATTCCTAGAAATCAAGATTACGCCGGAAGAGAGATGCGTAGTGGAGAAGGGTAAGACTTTTCCCTCGCAGCCATGGACGTTGGTGCGCGTGCAGTAGTGCCGGGTGTGTGTGTGTGTGGAGGGGGGCATATGGTGCAGTGGTATGTGCAGTCAATTTCCAATCGAGAGGTTGCGGGTTTGATTCCCGACGATTATGGTCTTTCTTCTGTTGATGTTCTTCTCTGTACTGTAAGTGGACAAATTTTTGGCCCATTCGAATTTCGGCCTCCCAGGGCTAAAACGCATTTCGGCTGCATTAAAATTTCGGCCTGTACTGCTGCTGCCTGTATGCACTGTCTCATGTGCACACTGAACCTTGCAAAACAAATTTTCGGCTGCCACAAATTTTCGGCCAAATACGATCGGGCCGAAAATAATATGTGCCGAGTATTTGTTGACTTACAGTATTTGAAATGGAGTGGATGCTGTCGATGTTCTTCTTTGTGTTTGTTTGTATAGTCTTGCCCCCGGAGATGATCAAGATCTACTGCTCTGCTAACCCGATGTCGTTCACACTGACACTGAAGGACATGAACTGGTACCGCTATCCACTTCGGTCCGACTGGCATATCAAAGAGACCGGTGCCTTCTACGAGAGTGAACACCTTCATGATGGTACGTGCCGCTGACAAGTCTCTGTCTGTGGTGTGTGTGTGTGTGTGTGTGTGTGTACGTGTGCGTGGTTGAGTAAGTAGTGTTGAGATGGGCAACGCTGACTGATTGCTCGGTACTTGATTGGGTGCACCGTCTATCATACATTCACCACTGCCACAACAGACCACCTGACTTTCCCCTGATCCACAGTGCATATTCTGACCACCTGTGTGTTTCCCAACGTATCCTTGCAGAGTTCTTCTTCATCCCGGAACGTGATGTAACGAAGACAAGTGCCGAGCCATCCAACGCGGACAGTGACTCGTCACCCAGTCCAACATCAGAATGTAGACCTGAGGGCAGTACGGCCAATGTGGCAGGCAGTGTTGAAGAGGAAGGGTTGGATCAGCCTCGGCGGCGTATGTTTGCCATCGACTGTGAAATGGTAAGCTTATGTGTCCCCTGATGCCCCCTAGCTATCACCATGCCTGCTCGCTGCTGGACAGCTCCTCCAATATGTTGCTCGTGGCCAGAGGGCTACGGACACACGGATTAGGATGCGCCGTGATCTGGCACAGCCAAACGCTAGCTCTGCTGCAGACCCTCTCTATCCTGTGTAATCCGTTGTAACCCGTTGCGTGTGCGTGCGCGCGTGTGTGTGTGTGTGCGCGCGTGTGTGTGTGTGTGCGCGCGTGTGTGTTGTTGTTCTTGTATGACAGTGCAAGACGGCTGAGGAGTATGCTCTAACCAGTATTTCCGTGGTGGATGAGAACCTGACGTGTATCTACCAGACACTAGTCAAGCCCTATGCCCCTATCATTGACTATGTCACAGAGTAAGTTGGCAGACACTAGTCAAGCCCTGTGTATGCACGCGTGCGCGTGTGTGTGTGTGTGTCTGTCTGTGTCCTGTACTGTGGTGTGATGTGTGTGTGTGTTTGGAAACGAAAAAAGAACGAAAAAAAAGACCAAAAAGTAGGGATTCACTGACCAGAAAAAGTCACTTCATAGCTGTGTACTGTACACCAGGCTGAATAGTGGCGGTCAATTATTCAGCCTTGCAAGCTGTTGAATGGTGCAATCCCAGCACAAGCTGCTATGGCGTCTGCTGTAGCATCGCTATCATCGCCTCCGGCAACGGGCGTCAAATGATCAAATGGTGTACTGTAATTTCACAAATTTTCAAATTTTTGGTGTACTTTTATTTTCGGTACTTTCGGTGCGTCTGTTTCACGCCTAAAATTTCAATACACCGAACAAACATTAACACACATGATCCAATAGGGAACTGCTTCTCTGTACCGAAAATTTCTGTTCACCTAACCTAGCCTGTTGCCCTCGTACCGAAAATATTGAGCACCGAAAAATTCTGAAATTGGAGTATGTGTGTATGTGTGTATCGTGTACTCATGTTGTGTTTGCACTGCAGGTTCAGTGGTATAACTGAGGAGATGTTGAGTGACGTGACTACTCGCTTGGAGGATGTACAGCAGAAGCTAGCAGAGATCATACCTCACGATGCTATTCTTGTCGGTCATTCTCTGGAGAACGATCTCACTGCTCTCAAGGTAGAGTCCGTATTCATCATGCTATGTGTGATGTCATGTTTTGATCACGTGTTCTATGATGTCATGGTGCATGAATCATGTGTATTGTATGATGTCATTGTAATTAATTTGAAGTAGTATCATGTTGTGATACCGTAAAGGCTTGTATTAACGCCAAGAGTACATAACCCCTCAAGAGTGTGCAACTCGACTATGGTTGCTGTCCCGACAGAATTTCAAGTTGTCGTCATTTTTATGATGCAATGCGCACTGTACACGGATTATCAGACGAATCCGGAACGTGTGGTTGACCGAAGCCCATCTGATCCTGTACAAATTATTGCAAAGAAAAACGTGTGATGTGTTGACACCCGTGCACATGTTGTAACTCACTGGTGCAATGAGCATTGCACCATAAATAATCACGTCAACTTGAAATTCTGCCGGGACAGCAGGATACTCTAATTTCAGAAATTTTCGGTGCTGAATATTTTCGGTATGACGGCAAAAGGCCAGGTTAGGTGAACAGAAATTTTCGGTACAGAGAAGCAGTTCCCTATTGGATTATGTGTGTTAGTGTTTGTTCGGTGTATTGAAATTTTAGATATGAAACAGATGCACCGAAAGTACCGAAAATAAAAGTACACCGAAAATTTGTGAAATTACGGTAATATTATGGGAGTTGCACATTCTTGGGGGGTTATGACACCTCTTTGTACTCTTGTTAACGCCCATCCAGTGTAACGTCCGCTACCCGTGTACACGCCCAGGTGCCGTGTGTCAACACTCCTGTCCCATGTTCTAGCCCACCTCTGTGTAAACGCCCGTATGGGCGAAAGCACAGACCCAGTACACAGTGCAGTGCATGCATAGCTCCATATGTTCATGTATGTACGGTACTGTAGCATAACTTAGTGTACAGTACACAGTGTAGGGTATGCACAGCTCTATGTGTATGTACGAACGGTACTGTAGGATAACTAAGGCTGTGTTTACATGAAGCGTTTCAGCCCGGGTTGAGTTCGACCCGGGTCAGATTTCAACCCGCCATGTGCACAAAATGAATGGCGCGTTTACATGACGCATTGCGCTTGACCCGGGCTGATTTCAACCCTCCCCCCAAGGGGAGGGTTGAAATCAACCCGGGTCAAGAAAATCGTACAAACGTACTTCTGTGCGTATCTCGCGCCAGGTTTGAACGGCACTGCAGATGCAAATTTCGCGCGAACGGATTCACGTGACCATACAGGACTGTAGAAGTGGACTTTTGGCGGCATATCAGTATTTGACCCGGGTCAACTGTCTTCATGTAAACGCTGACCTCTTTTGCCTATCGTACAGACTTTCAGCCCGGGCTGAACTCGACCCGGGTTGAAATTTCTCATGTAAACACAGCCTAGTGTACAGTACACTGTGTAGGGTATGCATAGCTCCATGTGTATGTACGGACGGTACTGTAGCATAACTTAGTGTACAGTACACTGTACAGTGCATGCATAGCTCCATATGTACATGTATGTACGGTACTGTAGCATAACTTAGTGTACAGTACGCAGTACAGTGCATGCACAGCTCCATATGTACATGTATGTACTGTACTGTAGCATGACTTGGTGTACAGTACACAGTACAGTGCATGCATAGCTCCATATGTACATGTATGTACTGTACTGTAGCATAACTTAGTGTACAGTACACAGTACAGTGCATGCATAGCTCCATGTGTACATGTATGTACTGTACTGTAGCATGACTTGGTGTACAGTACACAGTACAGTGCATGCACAGCTCCATATGTACATGTATGTACTGTACTGTAGCATAACTTAGTGTACAGTACACAGTACAGTGCATGCATAGCTCCGTATGTACATGTATGTACTGTACTGTAGCATGACTTAGTGTACAGTACACAGTACAGTGCATGCACAGCTCCATATGTACATGTATGTACTGTACTGTAGCATGACTTGGTGTACAGTACACAGTACAATGCATGCATAGCTCCATGTGTACATGTATGTACGGTACTGTAGCATGACTTGGTGTACAGTACACAGTACAGTGCATGCATAGCTCCGTATGTACATGTATGTACTGTACTGTAGCATAACTTAGTGTACAGTACACAGTACAGTGCATGCATAGCTCCATGTGTACATGTATGTACTGTACTGTAGCATGACTTAGTGTACAGTACACAGTACAGTGCATGCACAGCTCCATATGTACATGTATGTACTGTACTGTAGCATGACTTAGTGTACAGTACACAGTACAGTGCATGCACAGCTCCATATGTACATGTATGTACTGTACTGTAGCATGACTTAGTGTACAGTACACTGAGTCTGTGCTAACCTTATACGTACACGTACATGTGGTAGTACAGCATGATGTGAAAATAAATCCGATTTCACTTATCCGAACTAACGCCCTGGCCCTCTTTGGCGCCCGGGTCCAAATTGACCCCCTTGAAAACGAAGATCTTCTTTCCCTCCGCTTTGGTAGATGACTCATCGTCACATTATCGACACCTCAGTCCTCTTCGCTCAGGGTGGCTGCAAACAGAAGCTAAAGAAGTTAGCCAGAATTATACTTGGGTAAGTTGCTGCTGCTGTTTCTCTATTGAACATTTTCTCTGAATGTGTGATGTAATAAACGAGAGAGCTTGGAAGCTCAGGGCCCTACGCTATGGTTTTTTTGCCTAGCTCATCATGCATGCAACTTGGGTCTCCTATATAGAAAGTTTCTTTGCATTCGAGGGTAATGCGACACCGTCTACCACCTTGATGACCTAGGCAAAAAAGCATAGGGATGTTATAAATTTTTCATTTCTCCGATTTTTTAAGACATAACGTAGGATTCGAACCCGCACCATCGCCCTGCATGCATTCCCCCGGTACACTTCGCATACATACTCATTCTTCCAAGTTGCTTCACGTTATGATCTTCCATTTGAAAGCCCTATTTGAATATTGTGCCCAGCTACACGTTATGATCTTGCATTTGAAAGCCCTATTTGAACATTGTGGCCAGGCCAGCTGTCTTTGATGGTACGGTACGAGACAGGTATGGGATAGCGCCATGCATGCTATTGTGGCCAGGCCAGCTGTCTTTGATGGTACGGTACGGGACAGGTACAGGATAGCGCCAGGCATACCAACGGCACAGACAAACAAACACGAAGTTAAAGCTGTGTGGACCCTGGCTTGCGCCAGACGTTACTGAAGTAACGTCTTTGCATAGCTACGGGAATGAGAGAAGAAACTACAGAGAGAGAGAGAGAGAGAGAGAGAGAGAGAGAGAGAGAGAGAGAGAGAGAGAGAGAGAGAGAGAGAGAGAGAGAGAGAGAGAGAGAGAGAGAGAGAGAGAGAGAGAGAGAGAGAGAGGAGCCGTTGAGGATCAATCTAGAAACATTCTGATAGGCGTGCAACTCTGCAAGAAATGAGAGAGACACAAAAGTATCCATGCTGTGTATGTGTGTTTGTGTGTTCAGTCTCACCATCCAGGAGGATGAGGGTGGGCATGACCCAACAGAAGACGCTGTTGCCACAATGCGCCTAGCACAGTTTTTTCTCAATGAAGGTTAGTGGCTCGCTGGTGTGCTGTATGTAGTGTGTTGGGGAGGGGATTCATCAATGCTTGTGTCTTTGCCAGCTATGTGTGTTTCTATTTGGTGGCTTCCTGGTGCATTGCTTGATCTGTTTCATTTGCGAAACCTGTGTGTGTGTGTGTGTGTGTGTGTGTGCGTGTGTGTGTGTGTGTGCATGTGTGTGTGTGTGTGCATGTGTGTGCGTGTGTGTTTGGATGTGTGGATGTGTGTGTGTGTGTGTGTGCGTGCGCGCGTGCGTATGCGCTATGTGTGCTATGCATGCTATATGTGTGCTATGTGTGTGTGCTATATATGCATGGCAGGCCACAAAAACACTAGATATCAGCCAGGAGTAAGGTAAGTAGCATCAAATACTGTGACGCTTCAGTACACAGTACTAAGTCTGACAAATATTTGGCGCAGATTTATTTTGGGATATTTTTTTGCCTAAAATTTGTTGCGGTCGAATTTTCGTTTTGAGAGGTTCAACATGACCGTGTAAACTGTGTATGCAGTCAGCAGCAGTACCGGCTGAAAATGCGGCCGAAATGTGTTTTAGCCCTGGGAGGCTGAAATTTAAAAGATGCGCCGATAATTTGTAGGCTGACAGCACCTGGGGTATAATTGTATAGCCTGGACATTCCTCTTGGCAGCTGATATTACTATAGATAGAAATTTTCGGTGCTCAATATTTTTGGTATGAGGGCAAAACCCCAGGTTATGTGAACAGAACATCTAGGTACAGAGCAGCAGTTCCCTATTGGATTAGCAATTGTTCGGTGTATTGAAATTTTAGGTATGAAACAGACGCACCGAAAGTACCGAAAATAAAAGTACACCGGAAATTTGTGAAATTACAGTATGCAATTGGGATGGTGTTCCTCCTCCTGTCCTAATAATTAAACACTGTGTTCCCTATGTTGCAAGAAGAAGTCCATTCCAGACTGGTGGTTATGTGTACAGTCAAACCTGTCAAAGACGACCGCTCAAGGGACTTTCAAAGTGTGGTCTCTGTTACCAGGTGGTCTCCTTATCCAGGGTCATTTGACTGGAAATAGCATCCCTTGGTCCTGGGTACAGTGGTCTTCTGAGGCAGGTGGTCGCCTTATCAGAGTGGTCTCCTTATCAGAGTGGTCTCCTTATCAGAGTGGTCGCCTTATCAGAGTGGTCTCCTTATCAGAGTGGTCTCCTTATCAGAGTGGTCTCCTTATCAGAGTGGTCTCCTTATCAGAGTGGTCGCCTTATCAGAGTGGTCGCCTTATCAGAGTGGTCTCCTTATCAGAGTGGTCGCCTTATCAGAGTGGTCTCCTTATCAGAGTGGTCTCCTTATCAGAGTGGTCGCCTTATCAGAGTGGTCTCCTTATCAGAGTGGTCGCCTTATCAGAGTGGTCGCCTTATCAGAGTGGTCGCCTTATCAGAGTGGTCGCCTTATCAGAGTGGTCGCCTTATCAGAGTGGTCTCCTTATCAGAGTGGTCTCCTTATCAGAGTGGTCTCCTTATCAGAGTGGTCTCCTTATCAGAGTGGTCTCCTTATCAGAGTGGTCTCCTTATCAGAGTGGTCGCCTTATCAGAGTGGTCTCCTTATCAGAGTGGTCGCCTTATCAGAGTGGTCTCCTTATCAGAGTGGTCTCCTTATCAGAGTGGTCTCCTTATCAGAGTGGTCTCCTTATCAGAGTGGTCTCCTTATCAGAGTGGTCGCCTTATCAGAGTGGTCGCCTTATCAGAGTGGTCGCCTTATCAGAGTGGTCGCCTTATCAGAGTGGTCTCCTTATCAGAGTGGTCTCCTTATCAGAGTGGTCGCCTTATCAGAGTGGTCGCCTTATCAGAGTGGTCGCCTTGACAGGTTTTACTGTACTTCAATCTGCTATAAGATACCGTGTGAATTATCATGCCCTGCAATGCCTCCCATTGTTCTGTTTGACATTGTGTTGCTTTCCAGCATGTTTGCTCTTGCCGATGTGTCCAAGAAAACAGGTGAGCGAATGTGTGTGTGCGCGCATGTGTGGGTGGGTGGTTGGGTGGGTGTTGGGGTGGGGGGTGCGTGCGTGCAGACATGCAGTGTACAGTCAGAGCCCAGGTACAGCAACCCTATCCTAGTGGGCTACACCTGGTCCAGGACCACATATAGCATAGCACTGAATGTATGTCCAGTTGTGCACACACATTGGCCATTATGTAGTGCTTGTTTTTTGGGGAACACAGCTCCATGCTGTGTGATCAATCGTGTTGAGTGTGACACACTGTCTCAATATCTAGCATAGTTTGTCCATGCAACCTTCCGAATGAACTTTGATAATCATGTTGATGATGATGTGAGTTCAGTTTTGATCTAGCATGTGGCATTGTGTGTCACAACCTGTGGTGGTCGCAACATACCACTGTCTGCTAGAGGGTAGTGACCAGTGAGCATACATATGTCACTCATCACTCAGGCGTTCTGTGCGTGTGTGTGTGCGTGTGGTGTGCGTGTGTGCACGTGCGTTTGCGTTCTGTTCAGGCGCTGTTGTTGATCTACCCATGGCTTGTGCTAAGGAGTGCCGTGGTGAAGCAAAGGGCTACAGTGTACTTGAGGATAAGGAGGTGAGATATACACAGCTGCACCCCCAACACACACACACATACACACACACACACACACACACACACATGGCAGTAGCAATCAAATACACACGTCATTGCCCGAAAAATCGGACGGTTTGGCAGCACTGTAAATAGTACTGAACACAAACATGTACATCTCCATGTTCTTTTTTCTTCGTCTTGCAGGGCGCGATAAAGGCTGTCAAAGCGTTGTCGTCAACGGACTTTCTATGGCTTCGCTTGAGCAACCTTCAGAGAGTCATTTCCGGTAAGATTGTGGTCGGTCGCTGTTGTGCAATTCTAGGACTCACAGATTGGGTTTGGTTGTTAGTCAGTGCAAGATGCCGAAATACCACCGCTCTGACAAGTTAACACAATGGCGTAGGCACACTAGTTCTTAGCCACCTCTCTGACAAATTCACACAATGGCGTAGACCGACTGGTTCTTAGCACACCTGGGAACCAAGTAACTGCACCAGTTGTGTCTTCAGAGCATTGTTTTACTGCTGTGCATGGCTGGTATCAGATACAGTGAAGCCTGTCTAAGACGACCGCTCAAGGGACCGCCAAAACGTGGTCTCTGTTTCCAGGTGGTCTCCTTATCCAGGGTGATTTGACTGGAAGTAGCATCCCTTGGTCCTGGTTTCAGTGGTCTTCAGGGACAGGTGGTCACTTTGACAGGTGGTCACTTTGACAGGTGGTTGCTTTGACAGGTGGTCGCTTTGACAGGTGGTCGCTTTGACAGGTGGTCACTTTGACAGGTGTTACTGTAGGTAGAGCCGTTTTAGATGACAACCACTTGAAAGGCGGCTATGCCCCTGTAACCAATCTGAGTAGGTGTGCAGCTGAGCGTAACGTATACCCTGCTGCTCGGTCCACGCGTTCATATCTGCATCACTGCTGCACAGTCCATGCATTCATGTCTGCATCACTGCACAGTTCATGCATTCATGTCTGCATCACTGCTGCACAGTCCATGCATTCATGGCTGCATCACTGCTGCAGCGTCCATGCATTCATGTCTGCATCAGCCATCACTGCACAGTCCATGCACTCATGACTGAATCACTGCACAGCTCATTATGCATGATTGTGAAGGCGGAGAGCAGTGTGATACATGTACAAAGCTAGAAGCATGTCGGCATGTCTCTATAGATTACGGGTCCAGATAACCAAAAATGTGTTATGGTGCGGCCCATAGTGTTGAATATGAATCCACTGCAGCGCTGGCTAGCAAGAAAACCGGGCCAAAAACGACCAGACAAACGAAGCCTGGCTCTAACATATAGGTATTGCTTTGCTACAGTATCCATGGGTGCTAGCTAGGGTCCAGAGTGGCGACTGCTACATGTACATTGAACGTTGAGGCATTCTGATGAATGTCTTGACTCACTGGAGCTGTGCAAGTAGTCGTCCATCAGTGCAGTAGAATGACTATTAAATTTTGTTCCTCGTGTTGGACGCATGGTTCATAGTGTTCTTTGGACAGGCCCGGCAGAACCGGTCTGGTTGGTCAGGCCATGGCCAGATACAAACGTTTTGGCCACCAACGTGTGTTTTCTGCTGAGGAGGTCATGTGTATACCTTCCAATGGCTCTGTATCATACACAAACTGTATGAAAGTCATGTGACTACCCTCCGTATCATACACAAACTGTATGAAAGTCATGTGTATACCCTACATATCATACACAAACTGTATGAAAGTCATGTGTATACCCTCCATATCATACACAAACTGTATGAAAGTCATGTGACTACCCTCCATATCACACACAAAAAGTATGAAAGGCTAGGGTATGGCCGGACCAATCAAAAACTGCTTCTGCCTGTCCTGTTGGGTGAGAGTCAACCGCGACATGGCTCGTATCTTTGTCCGTCAGCCTGCCGTGAATGTGTTAGCAGTACTTGTGGCAACCGTAGCACTGAGTAGCAGTGGTTGTCCAGTCAAGAGGAGTAATGCAGTGCCCACCGCCAGTGATGGCTAGTGGAAGTAACGTTAAACCTGTGTTTGCCGCACCCTGTACCAAGCGGATGATCCTGACATTTTTCATGCACCAAATGCTGTGCATCTAATGTGCATCACTGGATCAACGTGGAATCCTGTCATATCAGAGCAGTTCCCGCTGCACCAAGGGCGTCCGCTTCGGGGCAGGTTCTGCTATACCGCTAAAAAATGCACACAATCACAAGTGCCCTCCCAGGCAAAATCTTGCCAAACACCAGAGTCCTGCTTGTACACACTACATCATTAAAACGATGTAATCACAGAATTTCGCCGTGACTGCAACCAAGAGTACATGAAAACCAGAGTGTGCAGCTTGGGGCCTTCTCTGCTATGGGTGTCTGTCACGGCGAAATTCCGTGATTACATCATTTGGTGCAGATCTGAGGCGGGAAATGGCGTAGTGCGTACAACTGAGCTGCAGTTGTGCAGAAAGAGACCTGCTTGAATCCTGCTTGTACGCACTACATCACTAAAATGATGTAATCACGGAATTTCGCTGTGACAGCAGCCCATCAGAGCTGCACACTCTGGTTTTCCATGACTGTACTCTTGGTAGCATGAGAGTCTGTGCACTGTAGCCACTGAGCCTGATGGCCATACTCCCAGCTACTGGCAATCATGATGCATGCACACACACACAGACACACACCATGCACCATGTACCATGTATACGCCCGTCGCAAGAGAAGCACGCAAGTCTGCAAATGCACTGGACGTGCACCCACAGATTTAGACACACCCACACGTGCACGCACACACACACACGCACGCACACACACTATCATGCAGGCTACCTGGAGATGCTCTGCGAATACTGTCAGTGATAGAACACAGTTATAAAACATCAACTGCTAAAAAAAGCGTACATATTATTGCCTACACCATAAGAGTCGTTGAAAAAGGTTCGATTGAAAAGGGAGAAAATATTTCAGGTACATGGCATGGCGCATACATGTGCAACGCATGCAGCATGTGTGTTGTACAGTGCCGGGGGCATGTGGTGTCAACCGCCGTGAGATTTGATACAAGAGTTTCATGATCACCTTGTTTTCGTTGTTGCATGGCGTGCTGACTTACTGTAGAATATTTGAATGTTTAAAAAAAACAAGCAGATGATGTCGGAGGAAATTTCGTGCAAATGATATGAACAGCAACTCAACGTAAAGCAACATTATTCAGTTTTGGCATGGGACATGTGGAAATGTTATTCATTTCGACACAGGCAGCAGCACAGTATCTACATAGAGTGAGAGTGAGACAAGTCCAAGCGTAGTCACCAGTATAGCTGATGATGATGAGCACACGGCACGTTTTCACGCACGCATCGTTTGTTGGCGCAGTCCGATGATCACACGTCATGTTAGCACTGACGCCGGTCGTTATGTGTGAGCAGAAGCCATGGTAACAGTTGCTAGGGTGACGGTAGCCGGTTAGGCTGGCGGAGGAACGGTTGTGCCGTGGCAACACAAAGTCGATATGCAACAGGGCACTGTGCAGCAGCAGCGGGAGTAGAAACACATGACGGCGCCATGGCCTAGTAGCATGACTAGCCACATGGCCTAGTAGCCGGACTAGCCACATCCGTGTGTTACTAATGGCAACAGCTTTCTCTACAGTGACATGTTAAAATCGACGTCGTCCTTTTCCGCGAGGCCGTCCGAGTACCCGCCTGCTGGTGCACTGCCGTTCTGCGCAATGTCCAGCTTGCGGCGCAGGTACCCAGGGTTCACGTCAGCCTGGCGTGCCAGCTTAGTCAGCAGTGCGAGCGTCTCGGTGCTGTCCCGGACGCGTTTGCCCAGCTCCTCGGCCACCTCGCTGCTGTTGGTCAGCTCCGGGTTGCTGTGAAAGCGTACCACCCCGCTCTGCTGGTCCAGGGTGGCGAAGATCTCGCCGCGCACCATCATGTCGAGCAGGTACTTCTCCGCCGTCTGTGCGTCGGGTAGAGCAGCCTGCGGGGACACACGGAGTCAGGTACACACAGACACACACACACGCACACACACACACACAGATACATCACATGTTACGGGCATACTAATAGTCTTCATCGGCATAATCTAACAATAGTGTTTCTCATGCCTGCCAATCTTTGCAAACCTGACATCGGGGCAATCACATACCTATCGATGAAAATGTCTACAAGTGTACCTATGAGGCATGTGACTACTGCACTTTTGGGTGCCTATTACCACCCTCGATATCGGCCAAATTGGGCTGGTTGGCAAGTAACGTTCTGGTTTGTGGATACATCACGGATAGCTAATGTACCAGCGATTGGTGCACTGAACAGTTGGGAGGTTAGGCAACATTAAGTATCACATTTCGCAAGACTTTTCGCCATAGGCATCCGTATTCAGAGAAGAGCGAGATCGCAAACCCCAGGCGTACTTTGCATGACACACACACACACGCACGCACACACACGAGAGCAGGCCACGGCCATTGCTACAGCTCACAACATACCCTGCGTGCTACGTCAGTGAGCGACACTGTCACAAAGGCCTTGGTGAGGCGCAGGATATTGCGGCGGTACAGCGAGTCCTGGACTTGCTTGACGAGCCCGAAGTTCTCGTCCTTGCGGAAGCTCAGCTCGTTGCGCTGCACAAACAACAGGAACTCTCTTACTTGGAACGATTTAACCAAATCACCCAGCTCTATATAGATACTAGCCGACAGTTGTAATGACATGCTCACGCACGCGCTTGTGTAGCTAGGTAAGGAAGGCATGTCACCATCCAGCATTAGCGAAACCAGCGTGAACTTCTTGTAGGCTTCGATGACCACTGCGCTGGTGACCGTGGCAGGACAGGTGATGGCGGCTTCAAAAAATAAACTCGCCCGTCGGAAGGACTTGAGTGCGCAGTAGATCAAACCGCCGTAGTAGAAGTAGAGCACGAAGTAGAGCGAGTCAAATTTCCCATTCTCGTCCACAGCCAAGTCCTGCACGTCCGTCTCGAGAAACTCCATGACTGGCTTGAAGTTCTTGCATTGCAAACACAGAAGGCACAGGTCGGCGTGGATAGGCGTCAGGAGTCGCAGGTCCGGCTGAACGCGGCGAATGGCAGCGTCCACCACGGGAATACCCGCCGCAGGTGCGCCATTCTCTCGCAGCAAGTTAGTCATTTCGTGAACAACCAGATCAAACAAATCTCGCACGAACAAAATATGCGTTCGGTCGGATACCGTGACCATGGCCTGAACTTGCGATACAAAAAGCTTCCAGTCAGACAACGCGTTGTGCTTGGCCTTGGCTGCCAATAGGACAACCATGATAGTTGTGAACTTGGGAGACGTACATGCTTCGAACGCTGCGTCTACTCGTCCCACTGACGCGCTCATGTGTGGCAGGTCTGATTTGGCCTTCATCGCCACCATGGGATATCTCTGCTCGGCGCATAGCTGCCGGCAAGCTGAAACGAAGTCATCCACGGTACTCAGAGATGCTGCACTCATCCTGTTACTCTCTGTGGAACAAGACGTGTCTCTATCCAACAGCGCCAACAGCAGCAGTAACAACAACAACACACTTTGAAACAAGTCTCACAAGCTTTCTTGAACCTCGAAAAAATCGTTTCTTTTGTTTTTCGTTTTCGCTTTCGAGGCGAAACACTACGTCATCAGCGAAGCTGATCTGACGAATGATGCATGAACATGAAAAAGTGACGTCGTCGACGGTATGTACATGACATTGTACATGATTGTATACAGTAACTGGTAACTACAGTTCCTTCATAAAAAATACAGTCAGACCTGGGGCCGGGGGGGGGGGGGGGGGGGGGGCGGGGCGGGGGCGTTCGTTTTGATCTACAGTTGTGGCAAGTGAAATCCGACGCTTGGCATAAGGGACTGCACCGTGCATCCTGCAGCCTCTGCAGCCCTGCATACGTACAGTACATGTGCTGCATACAACTTTATCTGTCTGATGACAGAATTCGTACTCATCACAGTCAAGGTTCAAAAGGTGCTGGCAAAAATGAATGGGAATTGGATACCAATACTCCTTATGTGTACCATGTTTGTGAACTGTGTGTATCTACTCTGTGAGCTTTCGATCTGTTTGGGATGCATACGGCTCTATAGTACAAATTAGGTGCAGTGCATTACGTCATTGATGTCCATTTAATTGAGGCGCTGTCCCCTATGGCAAGTGTCGGATTTCACTTGCCACAACTGTACATGTTTGGGTTGCAACTATTCTTTCGGTAGAAGTGTTCGTATTTTTCTACTCAAAAGGGTAGATTTCTACTTTCCTCTACTGACTCTACCAGGAAAAAGTTGGTAGAGGTAGAGGATTTCCGGCAAGATCAAGGATTTGTACACAACGCCATACAGAAGAGAAAGACTTCACGTACATATCGTGTAAACTACTAAATCTGGTAGAATAGCGTTCGTGCACATAGCATAGTGTTGTGTCGGTCATATCAGGGGAAAAACCCTACTAGTCTCCTACGCATGTGTCACGTCATGGTAGAGCATGACTGGCCTACGGGGTCGTTGCAAAGGTTTTTTTTTTGTCGTCCCTGAAACGAACATCGTTCATTTCGTACTCTGACCCCTCCCCTCTCTCTGAAACGAACACAGCTTGCTATGCTGGACGACGAAAATCGCATGCATATACAGTGTCGGACGACTTTCGATTTTGGCTCGCACCCCCCCCCCCCCTCCCTCCCACCCTCCCCCCCCCCTACCCAACGAATGTGTTCGTTTCAGGGTTGACGAAAAACGTTTGCGACGACTCCTAAAGCAAAGGCTGGTGGTGGTCTATGTCCTGGCGGTGGCAGTCATTGTTTTTTTGACCCCCCCCCCCCCCCCCACACACACACAAACACACACACACACATACACACACACACACACACACACACACACACACACACACACACACACACACACACACACACACACACACTCCCCGTTTTCAACTCCCTGGCACTCGTGAGCAAGTCACATGTCAATGAAAGATGACCAGTCGGACTGTCCCAATGAGAACAGCTGGCTGAGTGTCACGACAGGAGCACAACTTCACACTGTCAACCAGGATTCTGCCATTAGCACTCCGACTAATATATCCATGTATCTTTATTGTTTTCAGAATGATCTGTTTGTATCATGTCTTGTCTTCAACGGTAGGACTAGCCTGACTTGAAGAATTCTAAATTCGATCATTACATTCACAGTGAATTATCGTAATTGTTCATTGAGATCTTGCTGGTGTACTCTGTGTGTGTGTGTGTGTGCCTGTGTGTGTGTGTGTGTGCCTGTGTGTGTGTGTGTGTGCCTGTGTGTGTGTGTGTGTGTGCCTATGTGTGCATGTCTGTCTGTCTGTATGTCTGTCTGTGTTCTCTGTTCAGGACGTCCTCCGTTGGACTGGGACACTGTAACGGAGATCGATGAGCTAATGGTGAGTGTCCTAGACAGTCAGACCTCGCTTATCTCGTCCTCTTTTATCCGGACCCCTTACCGTCCGGAAGAAAAATTGTTGGTTACCGATTTACAGCATATGTCATGCATACATACAGTATGTGTGTTCGATTGTCCGGTTCCCTCGCCTATCTAGTTAGAGACTTTTATTACAAAGCACGAAGAAGTGTAAAAACAACAGAAAAATGATAAAGCACCCATTTTGATAATCCAGGGGATGGCCCACGCCTGGTACTGCCACTGCATTATAAATCATACGTAATGACTGATAAAAGGTGTGAAGCAAACTAATAACAAAAGTGTAAATGAAAATTGCTGTTAGACCACACGAATGCCAAGTCACACTGCAAGAGCTAGTGCCCTGGAATCACTGCCTCCGCAGCAACAAGAGAAGCAGGGGTGGTAGAGTCGACGGAGACCTTGAGGCTGCGGGATCCACGGAGACACATGCTCGCCTATCCGGATATTCTTGTGGAAAACGGATGTGTGCGGTTATGCGAGGTCTGACTGTACCAGTACTGTGGACAAATTGTGTAGAATATTGTACACTTGGTCACAAACACTGATGCAGGGGAGTTGTCATTCGTGGGGTTTGAGCCTTGTTTGGGAGATTGCCACACTGGTCAGAGTTGAGCCCTGCTCCTGTGGAGCTGTACAGTGTATGGGTTTGAATGATGTGCACGATGTGTGTGCAAGTCACTGAGCTCATTGCCCTCAGTGCATCTGTGTATGATGTGCACGATGTGTGTGCGAGTCACTGAGCTCATTGCCCTCAGTGCATCTGTGTATGATGTGCACGATGTGTGTGCAAGTCACTGAGCTCATTGCCCTCAGTGCATCTGTGTATCGTCCACTGCCAATGACGTTGGGCGTGTTCTCACTGCCTGGTCTTGCAAGGATGCTGGACTGACGGCTAATTTCCTTTCTTGATGCCGTGTGTGTGTGTGCGTGTGTGTGTGTGTGTGTGTGTGTGCGTTGTGTGTGCGTTGTGTGTGTATGAAATATGCACGTCTTTCCCTGCGCTGACTCATGGGCGTTTGGAGGGGGGGGGGGGGGGGGGGGGTCTTAGCTACCATAATAATGTCTTAGCAGAGAACACATCCCTACTTATATATGTATGTATGGCTTATTCGGTATCTTAACACATTAGTGGTGCTTGAGTGTTGGAGGTCAGACCTCACTTATCCGGTCCTCTTTCATCCGGATCCCTCGCCATCCGAATATCGTTGGTTACCGATTTACAGCCTATGTCATGCATGCTTATAGTATGTGTGTTCGATTATCCGGTTCCCTCGCCTCGCATATTTTTTATGGAAAACGGTTGTGTTCGGTTATGCGAGATCTGACTACACATTGTTCTGATTGTGTGACAATTGAGCAAAGCATGAGGCTACTCTCAGTTTTGGCCAGGTTTATAGGACATGTACATGAAGGTGAAGTCTGTTTGTGTAGCTCCCATATGGTCTAGTGGTTAGGATTCGGCGCTCTCACCGCCGCGGCCCGGGTTCGATTCCCGGTGTGGGAACATTCCTTTTTTTTCTTTTTTTCTTGACATTGGGAACATTTTGACTGCATTTTTGAGTTTATCGGCAAGGTGGAGATAAAATTTGAAAATGTTTTTTTGGTGAATCTGTGGAGAGTAAATAGCCTTCTCTAGCTTCCTATAGTTTTATTTTTACTTTTTGGACAAAATTTGAAAAGGTTCTATGAAAGGTCCGTGTTATTATTCCACGGACCTATAGGAGGCTAGAGAAGGCACTTCTCCAGAGATTCACCGAAAAACATTTTCAAATTTCATTTCCACCTTGCCGAAAATGCAGTGAAAATGTAGTGAAATACCTTTTGATGGACTGTTAGTCATAACCACATGTAGTAACTTATAATTCACATCATTATTGTATTTTTGAAAGGATTGGGAGAACTTCAAATTCGAAGGATCAGTTGGGGAAGTGAACTGCCTGAAAAGAGGAAAATCGCCAAGCAAGGTCCCGGGTTTGAGTCCTGTTGGGTCTGGCGATTTTTTTCTCTTTTCGGGCAGTTCACTTCCCCAACCGATCCTTTGAATAATAATATTGTATTTGCTCCTCTTTTCCATTTTGTCATTTTGTTTGTGTGTGTGTGTGCGTGTGTGTGTAGACTGCAGTGAAGTCATTGGATGACAACCTCTACGCAATCTACTCAGCTCTGCCCCAGCATTCACTGCTGATGGTCTTGTTCGATCACGGTGACATTCGCGAATTGGGCATGTAAGTGTGTGTGTGTGTGTGTGTGTGTGTGTGTGTGTGTGTGTGTGTGTGTGTGTGTGTGTGTGTGTGTGTGTGTGTGTGTTTTGCCACAAAGGCATAAGAGAGCAGAGGCAACCAACCGGCCAGGTCATTGTTGTGACGCTGCGTTTCATGCACATAGCGAGGCTAAGGCTATCCTCCGACAACTGATGGCCTGTACATCACATGGCTACAAACGTGTGTGTGTGTGTGTGTGTGTGTGTGTGTGTGTGTGCGTGCATGCGCCTATATCTCTATTCATGATGCAATCACAGTGCTGGATCAGCAGTGTGTGTGTGGGGAGGACTGATCCAGGCCACGTGAAAGCTTCATCTGCTGTATTCTGTTTGACTCACTTCACTATCCTTGTACAGTGCAAAACTCTCTGGGGATGATCCACAAACTCCATTGCAGCCATCTACAGTCAAACACTATACTTTACACCGAACACTCACACTTGGTCTCCGTTCACCAAATCTGTGTGTGTGTGTGTGTGTGTGTGTGCGGTGTGTGTGCGCGCGCACGCGCCTGTGTGTGCTTGCGTGTGTGCGTGTGTGCATGCACGTGTTGCTCCCCTCTTGCAGGCATAAGCAAGCTCACCCCGGCGACCTGGCTGGCTATGAAGCCAAGGTGAAGCGCTGTCGTACTAGCATGTTCTTTGCCTGCCTGAAGGAAGGTGCTGCTGATGACGATGATGAAGAAGAGACTGACGAATACACCACTGGTAGCGCCACTTCAGCAACACGATCTTCAGTGTCGGAACGCCCAGCGTCCGTCACATCTGATGGGGATAAGGAGCGCAAGCACTCTAGTTAGAACTACACACACCCCTCAGCAGCAGCACCGCCATGACAGGTAGGCTGTACCTTGTGCTGTTGTTACTGCTGCTGCTGTTGTTACTGCTGCTGCTGCTGCTGCGTTGTTGCTACTACTGGTGGTGCTGTTGTTGCTGCTACTGCTGGTGATTCTGCGGCTGCTGCTGCTTCTGCTGGTGATGGTGGTGGTGCTGGTGGTGGTGGTGCTGCTGCTGTTTCTGTTGCTCTGGTTCTGGTTGTCAGATGTGTTGCCATTGTTGTGGTTGTTGTCATTGCTGTACTTGCTGCCTTGGAGGGAATGTTCCATGCAGACTAGGCTGCACTTGTGTCGGAAAACCTGCAAGTTTCCTGATGGCCAATAATGTGAAATGTCCCAACTAAGTTTCTTGTTTCCCCAGAATCTCCCCGTGTTGAACATTATGGTGTTGATGCTAACTTGCCCATTTCACTAGAGGCAGGGTCATGGCCGTGTTGATCAATCTCCTGTGTGATATTCCCCAGCCAGTACATGTGTATGTCATTGGATTAGTGCAGAAAGTCATCCATTCCCCATATTGAAGTAGTGTAGAAAGTCAGGCATTCCCCACATTCAATTAGTGTAGAAAATCAGCCATTGCCCCCATATCGACTTAGAAAGTCAGGCATTCCCCACTTTACATAAGTGTAGATTCCACTAAAAGGTGTGGTATGTCTTTGGATTGGCGTAGAAAGTTGGACATTTCCCACATTGAAGTAGTGTAGATGCCACTAAGAGGTACGTATTTCACCCTGCGGCCCTTTGCAGCGCCTACTTCAGCACCAAACTGCCCAAACTGTCCGTGCGTGCCAAACTCGCGCCGCACATTGTGTTAGCTTAGCGCAAAACGTGTTGCTGGTAGCTGATTGGCCGAGTGCCCCTCACCCTGTGCTGGTCGGGTATATAAGCAGTGGAGGTAGAGGAGGTGGGTGGGGATGGATGGGATTACCAGAGTCAGCTCCCCTCTCCAGATGGCTAGGCTATGCCCAAAAACCCCGTGCTTTTTCCCCCCTTGCACTTTCCCCCCATAAAAGTATTACCCTTTTTTCCCACCATGATGACAGCTGGGCGTGCGTGACTTTTAGCCCCGTTAGCGCAGGTCTTAGCAAGATTAGCCCCGTCTTAGGGTGTGTGCAGCCTGTGTTGATGGGTCTGTTGTGACATAACACCTGTTCTGCGCCGGTCCCTTGACACTTTGCCCAATGTGCGGTTGTGAATTTGAAGTGTGTTGTGGGGGGTGTGAATGCCACCACTTCACTCAATATCACCCTTCCCCCGTAGTGCGCACAGTGCATAGTACACTAGCAGTCAGGTCACATGATCATGCTATCAAAGTCATGTGACAGGTCATGTCATGTGATTGCATCTGATGTGCATGATTGTACAACAGTGCCCCCCCCCCACACTGTGTGTGTGTGCATGTGATTTGTGCGTAAAAATTCTGAAATTGGGTTCTTTGTTACCCCATGTGTTTGTTTGCTACCCAGGTATACTCAGTGACTAGTCGCAAGACCTGCTATGCATGAACCACCACCGGCCATGACACTGACTGCGGCACGACGGCAGTGGATTATCAAGAAGATTCCTCCAAAGGCTTGTTGTTGTTTTTGCTGTTGTGTGCATGTATATCTCTTGACATGTGGTGTAGAGGTCTATCACCACACAATGAATGGTGCTGCTGCTGCTGCTGCTCTCAGTACATTCTGTAAATAGTTGTAATCCAGTAAGTAATCCATGCCACCGCCGCCACCACTGCCGCCGTCCTTCCTGCTAGTTTCTTTTTCCTCTCTGCAGCCGTTCCTTGCTCTCTGCAGGGTTGCCAATGCATTGTACCATACTATGCGTTTGGATTTGTTTTCATTGCCGCCGCCTGACTGCATTTTGTTTTTACAGACCTTTCTTGGTTTCCTCCGGACAGATTGTTGTTGTGTTGTTGTTGTCAGTGTCGCCATTGTCAACATTCGTTGTCGTCATTTGTTGTCGTCATCGTTGTTGCTGGTGGTGTTGCTACAACAGTCGCCACTGGTATCACACCATGCCCACTACTACTGCTCTCCGGGTCCACGAGTAGTTGTTTATAAAATCTTTTTGTAAATTTGATCCTTGTAATGTCGTTTAAAATAGTTTGTACATTTTTTGAATACAGATGATAATTATGTGGCCGCTGTACAAACTACGGACTGTTGTTTGTGCACTACGGACACTGGTACTGCCAACACTGCCTGGCTAGCTGTGTTGGCACAGTTACCGTGGTTACGGGTTCTTAATGGACTGCACTGCTAGGGGGCTCTGCGGCAAATGCTTCGTTTCAACCGTACACACAAACACACGCATGCACACACAGACACACACACCACACACACCACACACACACACTCACTCGATCACGTAAAGTGTTACCTTCACCTGCCGTAGGCAAACCGTTTATTACGCACCTACTGTGATTTGAGAATTAAATGCAGAAAATATAGACAAGGTCATCTTTCCATGAAATACTAAAATAATTAAATATAATTTCAGAGACGAGCCAAGAAATAATTTTTGAATCCGAGACAATTTGTGCATGTAGAGCAATTTCCCTATGTTACATACATATACGCGTGTACCGTACGGCAAAGCTGAAACGATTATAACCTAGTTTCTAACACTCTACCATGACTTGTGAGTCGGTGGGTGGACCACCCACACAACGCCTCAGTGGCAAACAATCCGTATTGGAAGCAGGACATTCACTATAGTCGAGGCCGTGATGTTTTCTCATCACAACTTTGGAAGACAGTAGTACCCTTCTGCCATGCACTATCAGTGTATTGCTTTCAGAAGGTGTGCGTGCGGAGGGATGAGTATCAGGGAGTCGTAAAATACCGACTCCCTGATGAGAATACATTCACAAACACGACGCAGTGCGCATTACAAGCAACACGAAATCAAGAAGAAAAGAGAAATGGTCTACTATGCGTGTGCATAGCTCTAACGCGCAACGCTTGGCTGATCATGAGTCCGGTCCGGTCTAAACATACATGTAGCATGCATATTGTTATGTTCTAGCTCACAATCCATATATACTTGTAGCAGTAGCTGATCACAGACGTGAACGGATATCATTCATACACACACTTGTATCGAGTACATCCACACATACCGCTATGCCCACATACATACATGTACATACACAATCTACATGTACATACATACAGATAACAGAAGAACACAAGACGATGTACTTACTGCACTGAGCGCGGCGGTGGCTACTAGTCTAGTACGTCAACAACGGGCTCCAACTGCTGGACAGCTATAGCGCAGTCCACATAGCATGCATACATGCATTACGCCATGCAGTGGTGACCAGCATGTCACACACACACATAATAGTGAATCAGTCTCGGCAGCATTACACAGACTACCAGGCGTACATGGACAGACGAGGAGGCGTACGTAAACGTTGTTTGTCCTGGCGAGGTCACCGCTGCTCAGTCATCCAGCTGACAGAGAGCGGCGAGGCCACGGTTTATCCAGTGGTTCTCCGGCTTATCAGATGGCAAGTCAATCTGTGTACAACAGCGGCAAGAACGGAGTGTAAGCATGCGCGCACAGGCAGGCATACAGAATGATGGACACGTACATGTAAGCACACACGCACGCATGCGCACATGCATGCACACACGCACGCACACACACACGTACACACACATACACACAGACACACACATGCACACAGACACACACATACACACACACACACACACACACACACACACACACACACACACACACACACACACACACACACACACAAAACACACATGTGCGTACACACATGCATGTACACCATAAACACATACACACTCTGTTTCGGGGAAAGTGTTGAACTATAGGCAAAAAGCTACGGGTTTCAGAACACACACAGAAACACATACAACCATCACCGATAAGGAGTCGTCCACAAATAATCACGGCGGATGATTGGCACTCTACTCCACAGGTATCTTCTTCGGGTGGGAGGATCTGAACAATCTTTCCCATATCGTCTTGAAAGTTATTACGGGTATGTAGATGTTTACGGATGGCCCGGAACTAGTGTATGCTGCAGGTTGTTGCTCTCACCTGCAAGACATAGTTAGTAGAATGTCCCGTCGTGGACAGTGTGCCGCGCCTTGCACTGGTCTTGTACACAGGACACTCGTACGTTGACTTCTTCACAAACTTGGATCTCTCTCCCGGCTTCAGCCAGATCTGGGCAGAGCGGAGATGGCTTGGTCAAGGAGCATGACTCGTATGCACTCATACATGTTTTCATTTCTCATAGCACATTATCCCTACTCTTTACCAATACAGGCAGACCTTGCTTAACTGGTCCTCTTTTATAAGGATCCCTCGCCATCCGGCAGAAAATCGTTGGTTACCGATTTACAGCATACGTCATGCATACATACAGTATGTGTGTTCGATTATCCGGTTCCCTCGCCGAGTGAGCCTCCTAGCCTAGACCGTTCTTATTTTCATGTATTGCAGTCTATGCACAGTTGGGTCACCGTGTTTACATTGGTATGCTGTGCTTGGTGAAATTCTAGCCTGCCCGTTCTTCGGCGACCGGCAGTACTGTATGATAGATAGTACTACCCCCCCCCCCCCCTTCCCCCCCTCCACACACACACTGGGGAGTTGTCAGGCGCGTGCGCCGGTGCCCTTCAAGGGGGGTCCGGGGCCTCCCCGGGGAAAATTTTCAAAAAAATGAAGCAAAATCCTGCATTTTGAGCGAAAAAAGGGGGGTTCCGGGCACCCAGGAACCCATACGGGGCAGCCGCCTGGTTGTGTAACGTTATTCTTGTATTATGGGTAGCAGTGATAGGGATGAGGATACGATGGGGAGAGTGTCGTGAAGCAGCTTGGGTTTCTGCTCAGCCAGAACCTTGGTCTGCCGATCCCACCGTGCACCGTCCAGGAACAAACCCTGCGCACGCGTTGCAATGCCAGGACGACGGGAATAGAACACACACGCACACACGCACGCATGTACACACATGTATCCACGTACGTACATGTACGTGGACAGACAGACCGACAGACATACACAGCAATAACAATGGTAACAACGAGCAAAGAGGAGGACGGCAGTGGCAAGAAGAGCACGAAACATAAACACGCACTTTCACTCCCTACGCCACAGACACACAGACACACAGACAGACAGCCAGACACAGACAGACACACAAATACACACAAACACACACACACACACATCTACAGTTGCGTTTGGTGAAATCCGACCCAGACGGCATATGTGTTATCCGGACCTCGCACGAATTTGACGCCCTGGAAGTGGTACGAATGCCTCTGGACGTACACATGTGCAAGTAGAGCGATGTGATCGGCACAGGTGCCAGTTTGGCACTCTGGGCCGGATTTCACCGAGCGCAACGGTAATTACGTGTCCCCAGAATATTTATCACAACATGCAGATCAGCATTATACCATAGCGTCTTGCATAAAAGCCTGTCTCATGTGGAAGCCTGTCTTGAATACAACCCTGATTTTTCGAGATGCATTGTCGGCACACAAGCCTGGCTTTAGTGTTGACATACATAAAAATATCTGTCTCACATAGAAGCCTGTAATTTTTGCCCAAAAAAGTCATACAAGCCGCGGCTTTTATACACGACTTTACAGTAACAACCCTTACCCGAACATAGACGCCATCGTCCGGTCTAGTAGGCAAATCGTACTCCTCGTCCAGAAGCTCAAACTCAAATCCCAATTTATCAATAGGGATCTTGTACTTGCGAGCATAGTTCTGGGAAGCTCCTGCGTATGCGGAATAACGGAATGCACACCCATAGATACAGTACACACACACACACGTACGCACACATATAGATACAGTACACACACACACGTATGCACACGCACGCACGCATACAGCAGAGGCAACAGATTGGTTTGGATTGGTTTATTCATTGTCGAAGAACAAACAGCCAGTGTTGCCTTATTACATGAGATGCATTCGCATTTCACAATCATGTTTCACACAGTCAGCATGCAGAGATGTGCCATCAAGGGGATACGTGACTAACCGGCAACATTAACCTTGACAAGCTATTTGTTTAAAAAAATCAAAATGATCTTCGACGTAGTCCCTGGATATCTTCACAGAGATTTCTGTAGAGTTCAGTGTGAGAAACAGAGAAGGAGGAGGAGGAGGAAGAGGAGGAGAAGGAGGAGGAGGAGGAGGAGGAGGAGGAGGAGGAGGAGGAGGAGGAGGAGGAGGAAGGGGAGAGAGAGGTTGGGTGAGACAGAAAGAAAGTATGGAAGGAAGAAAGAAAGGAAGGAAGGAAGGAAGGAAAGAAGAAAGAAAGCTCGGAAAGAGAGAAAGACAGAGTGATTGAGTGAGTGAGGGAGTGAGAGAGAGAGAGAGAGAGGAAGAAAAAGTGTGTGTGTGAAAGAGAGCGAGAGAGTGACTGCTGTAACTCACACTAACCACCACATGACCTACCTGTCAAGAACGATTGTGTGAAGTAGAAACCAGACACCCAGAATACCGTGGGCATACCGTCCTTGATCCAATCATTCAGGAACTTCAACCTGCACACATACACACACGACCACACAAACATACACATACATACATGCCCCACACACACGTGAACACACACGCACACAAACATTCACCGTACAGAGCAGTGCACTGCACTACAGCATTAGCATAGATGTGCAAGTTCGCTATTGGACTATTCTTATGTATTAGGGTTTGTTCTGTTACTGACATGTTAGGTATTTAAAAACAGATGCACCGAAAGTACCTCTCACCTAGCAAGCAGGTCTGTAACATAGCTCCCGAGCGGCTTCAAAGACGGATAGGACTTGGCTGCCCACATCTCAGGGACTTTCCCCACTAGCATGCTGTTGAAGACATCTTCAAGTTGCGATGACATCACCACTAGACCCTAGATGACATACGCACACACACAAGGGAGGCAGATAGGAAAGTGGTGACTTTGGAGATGTTAGGATGAAGGCAATGCAAAAGTCTGTACAAGTGGCATTGATCAACAGCTGGCCGATGCAAACTGCAAGTCAACAAATATTTGGCACAATTTTTCAGCATCACATTGCAAGAGAAAAAAGCCTCCACAAGCTTCTCTTCCTCTCTTTCTGTAACAGTGGTACGCATGACGAATCAGACAACCAGACACTTGATATCGATGACATCAAACTCAGATCAGAGGGATATACCGGTACATGGAATTCTAATAACCATGACATCATAATGGTCACGGTCATTGCTTTAATATTCGACCTCACAATGACATCATACCTTGATGGCTTTCTTGATGTTGACGAGGCTGCTCCTGACAACGGCAGTGAGGCGATTGAAGCGGATGAGTTCCTGTCTCAGTACAGTGTTCATTGATTCTTCGTACACCACAGGATACTTCTTCATGACCTGTTAACCATACAGGCAATCATAGAGACATACAAACAATCATATACCGTAATGTCATGTATTAAAGCCGCGCTAATTCTTGTAGAAGTCGATGTCAGGGCTAGGCTTCTATTCACATCAGGCTTCTATTCAAACCAGGTATTTATATGTATGTCAACCCGGGTTATGTGCAGACAGTGTATCTTGAAAATCAAGCTTGTATTCAAAACTGGCTTCTATATGAGACAGGCGTTAAAAAATACAGACACAACAGTAAATACACAGACAATAAAGTCCGTCAATGACAACTCTGCCCTGTACAAACAGCCACCTTCCTGTTCTTTCTCACACCTCACATCAGCCACAACTAGTGCAGGGTTGGCTGTGGGCAGCCATATTGCAAGACAAAAAAAGAGGACAGTGAAGACAACGACAACTCTGCTTTGTACAGACAATCACCTTCCTGTACCCCATGGGTGTTACCGTGTATGTCCTATCAGAGTTTCACCATCCATATTATATAGAGAGTGAACTCCCTGATAAGACGTACACCCACCCATGTACAGGAAGGTGCTCTTAACTTAGCATCCACGGTACTCCTTATCCAGACATACAGTTCAGTATGGAGTAGGCAGTGTACCCATACCAGAGCCAGGGGCGGATCCAGCGATCTTTACAGGAGTTCCAATTGACTTAGTCAAATCTAAATAGCTGATACATGTACATGGACGTGCATATGGTATCCAGTAGCACATTGTTGAAAACTTAGGGGGTTCCGCAGAACCCCTGGCACCCCTCCTGGATCAGCCCTGTAGTAGCAGTGACAATGCAAGGTGACACTCAGTGAGGCCTTGATAGAAGTTACTGCTAATTCCTTGACCTTTGGAATGACTGTTCCCTCTTCTTCTATTCCTCCATTGTTGTATGAAACTATATAACATCAAGAAAGAGTGTCTTGTTGTAGATGTGTGAGTGCTTTGTGGGCGCTAGAGTTTGAGCTGGTTACGATTCAGTAACAGCCCCTGACCCCAGGCAATGTTCGTACTCACCAAGTGCACATCTTATCAGATTGCGTATTTAACATGTGAGGTCCACTGTATTGCAGACGTGGAAGACAACGGATCAAATGCTTTTGCAGCGGGAATGACTCTACCACGCCCGCTCTCCATTATACCGAAGCCTATGAGAGTGGAAATCAGAATTCAAAATCAAACTCACCATTTCAATGTTGAAATCCGGCGGCAGCTTGGACAGAATGTCAGTAGCTAGTTCAGCAATAGTATCTTCCGGTGACTTCCCACCACCGCCAGTTTGTCTTGGCTGGGTAAGCACTATACTGTCAAGTAACTGAGACAAGAATACATTCCGCATACATAGACCAGAGGTTGGTTGAGTGTCAAGTTAAGGAGATCAATGCCAGTTGTGGTAGTCATGCATTGCACATCACGGCTGTAGTACTGATGTGCACAGTCATGGTAACAGTGCATTGCGTAATGCTCTTGGCCATATGCTGCTGTTGAGCTGGTTTTACAGATGAAGAATCGGAGAGACACAATGGCTGGTTGTCTATTCTTTCCGTGTGCTTAGTCTGGTTTCTTGCATGCCTACAGCAGTTGTCACATTACTGCAGTCAGAAACTGGGCCACATGACTGTCGCTGCAGGCACATGGCATGGCTCATGGGTGGAAGGATTACTATTGTTGTGCTAGCAAGCTGCAAATCAGTGTTTGTACGAGTATATTCACCCTAGGCCCAAGCACCCCCCCCCCCCCCCTCCCCAACACACACTCACACTCACACTGCAACCCACACCAGCAGCATAGTCTTGGTACCTGAGCCGTTTCTTGCTGGTCCTTGGTGATGTCAGCATTGTCGTGCATACCAAACACCTCGGGGTTAGGTGTGAGTGGTAGAGATCGTAGATAGTCGATGTAAGACTGGTAATCACCCTTGGGTGGTACATAGTACTGACCACTAGCTGATAACCTACACATGGATATTACACATTATGCATGCATGCACACACAAATATACACACACAGGGACACACATATACACACACACACACACACACACACACACACACACACACACACACACACACACACACACACACACACACACACACACACACACACACACACACACACACACACACACATGGGCACACATATACACACACACACACAGGGACACACATATGCACACACAGGGACATACATATACACACACACAGGGACACATCGGGACACAGACCATACAGTATACATTGATCAAACACGGCGTAGCGTTAGATGTTCCACTGCAACGGCACATTGCAGAGGCAATGGCATTGTCTGAGCCCATCCCCATCCTTATCCAGAAATATCTACTGGAATGTTCAACCAACACAAGAGCATGGTAGCAAGGTAGCACTGCTTCATCCTAAGGATGGGCCAGGCCCGAAAATTTGGTGAACCATTTCTTTCAAGTGGCGTTCCAGCGGAGAGACTGTGATTGAGTGTTTGCAGTGAAGAAACCGCATGTGTAAGTGGCTGCAATGGAGTTTGCGAGTACTTAGAAAAGTTGACGGGGTAGAGACGTGATGAATGGAAACTCATGCACAGACAGACACACATGCAAAGGTACGAAACACACATTTGCTCAAGTACGCAAGCACATACCCCCCCCCCCCCCACACACACACACACATGCCATGGAGCAGTACGCGTAAAGTCATCCCAGTAAGCCGACATCAGCAGAACTCACCTGTAGTCGTCACTGTAGATAATAGGTTTACAGTAGAAGATATCCAGTAAGCTGGTCAGTAATCGTCTGTCCCAGTCGTCGGTAACACGACCACCATAGTTACACTGGCCTGTTAGGTAGAGTAGAGCACTCAGGGGTAACTCATCGTACTCATTCAGAAACATCTATAACAACAACAACGACAACGATGATGACGATGGCGAGGAGAGCGGCAGCAGCAGCAGTCACAGCAACACAAAATAACAAATACAAAATCACACCACCAAAACACCAACCATGAGATTCACACACTGTGGCAAATTAACAGCACTATGATATTGTGTGTGTATGAAGGGAGGGGGGGGGGGGGCATTGCGTGCTGCCCTTGTGTATCACTTTAGACAGTCCGTTCAACGGATTCCTTGTCTCAGTAAGCTGCTGCATCTTCCGGTGGCCATTTTCGGAGGAGCGGATTGTGCCCTCAATTTCGCCCGAGGACTGAACATTGAAATTGTGGATACAACCCAGCATTAGGAAAAAAACAGGCACTGCATGAAAATACGTACATGCCCAAGAGACCAACCAGCAGAGTATGAACACATCAATACATAGTGGAGAGAATTGCGGCTCACCTGTAACTGTCTCATGCTAATCCTGAGATCAGATTCATTGAACTCGTAGGGAATATTCCACCCCAGGGGTCCAAACTTCCTGCGTTCTTGCACCAGCGCATGGAAGAAGCAGAGACCGAATAACAGCTTCTCCCATTCCAGACGCTGTGTGTAGGGGATACGACACACATACACGTACACGAATGAATGAACACACAACCACAAACCGTAGTGTCTCGTATTAAAGCCTACTATGATCTCGAATAGAAGCCTGTTTTGAATAGAAGCCTGATTTTCAAGATACACTGTCGGCACATAAGCCTGGTTTTAGTGTTGACACACATAGAAATACCTGATGTGAATAGAAGCCAAGTGTGAATAGAAGCCTAGCCCTTACATCGGCTTCTACAGGAATAGGCACGGCTTTAATACGCGACAATACGGTACACATGTTAAAACCGAAAGGTTCTCGGCTGTCCAGTAGAGTGATCAATGACCAAGGACAGAACTACTTACAACAAGAAGAAGAGGATAAGAAATTAGTTGTAACTCCGAATTTCATGCACAAGGCGCTCATCATATATTTTAAGCACAGATAATATATAATGATAACGTTACTCGCCCAGTCTGGGTCAGGCTTACAAGTTCAACATCCCACATACACTTTTTTCCACCCTATTCAGTCTAAATGCACAGAAACGTTGAAAGAATGTCCAGTCTTAGCATGACCGTATTGCTTGCTTGAGTTCAAACGTACCGAAGTGTGTATGGTGTAAAACTGGGAATCTCCTTACACACAATGTCTTGATGAAAATCGGATGGAGAGCCAAGGATTAAAATTAAAAAAAGAGAGGGCCATAATTATGTTTAAAAAAGAGAAGAAACACATGAGAACGAGTTATGCAGCAACTATCCACGACTGTAACAAGATGATAACTCGTTCTCATGTGTTTCTTCTCTTTTTTACATTTCATTACTGGCTCAGTATCCGAGTTTAAATAATTATGTTTACAAAATTATCCTGCTTACAATCGTCAGTGTTGGACAAAACGGATAAGTTGTTAACTTATGGCAACAGTTACTTTTTTTCTTCACACAATGTCTTCCTTACCTTAGTACATCCATCAAAGAATGTTTGATCGGATATCGGATCGTTTAGATATGATCTCAGTAGATTGGCTCTGAGACCTTTTGGTGGTTCATTGGTCATTTTCACACCTACACAGAGAGAGGGGGGGGGGGGTGGAGAGAGAGAGAGAGAGAGAGAGAGAGAGAGTGTGTGTGTGTGTGTGTGAGAGAGAGAGAGAGAGAGAGAGAGAGAGAAGAGAGAGAAAGGAAGTGCAACACAGAACCAGTATTCATAAATTCATAGCCGTGGGAAAGTTTGTTCTGTTGTTACTCTTAATTTAATGGCAACATGATTGATCATCAGACAACAACATATTTGTGTCGTGGAGCTCCTTCCTGTAGGTCAAGCACGTTTGCAAGACAATATTATTCGAATATTCAAAAACAACACCTAGAATGAACACGTCATACGGGGCATGCAGCCATCATCTTCCCTTACCATTTTGCAAAATGGACACGGGGAAAGCGTCCGAAGGGTAGCTGGTCAGCCACAGTCTGAAGTCCTTGTGCGTCTTCTCCGGAACAATGGTCTCCTCGCAGATCTTCTCCAGTCTCGGCATCCAGCTGGTGGCCAGATGACAATTCTGAAGAACTACCCACGTACCGTTGACAATAGCGTCGTCTATCATGCGTGAAGCGATGGGTCCCTGGGTGCAGAAAAGGGGGAAAACAGATTTAAAAAATGATGACAGTGCATAAGAACCACAAGCTTTCATTCTTACACTCTAACTAATGGTTTAGTCAACTAGAGCTCGGGTATTTCACAAGGGGAAAGAAGACAGCAATGGATGTTCATGAACGGGGGAATATTGATAGCGGTGTGGTCGTCCCTTTTTAATCCATCACTTTTATAAACCTAAGCCCTCCACAAACCAGAGTAACATTCAGTCCGACATGTCCTCATCATGCACATTGCAGTAGTAAATCAGATTTGTTAACCCAGCACCCTCCCTAATCCAGCAGAATCTCCCTTGCACAAATCAGAAAAGTGTCCTTATTCGCGAAGTGTCCTTATACCCGAAGTCTCATTATTACTGAAGTATGTATTACAGTTGGATGGGACTTTGCTCTGGGCATGGAAATTCGGTCGTTATTCGCGAATTGTCGTTATATCGGGCCGCAGTCGTTATAAGCGAAGTTGACTGTATCAGCATCACCTACCTGCCCCTGGCCAAGTGAGATGCGCTTGCACCTGTCAGCACCGTAACCCTTGTCCTCGGCAAACTTCAACAGGCCGGCCATCGGGTCAGCACCGGGTGATAGGACAAAGATCAGCGGTGAGCAGTTGTTACTGTCTGCAAAGCTACCGGCTAGGTCAAACGTCGGAGGTTCAATGTATGTGCGACCCATGTTCTCCACAATGAAATTCTGTAGGTGAAACAAGATGTGACAAAAGCGACAATGACATCTGAATCTCTGTCTGTAAAGCAATTTCCGTTAGCCGACGGTTGGAAGCTACTGTTGTCCCTGCCCTTTTGGCACGTGTGATGGATGTATAAGAGTAATCGGAAGGGCTATCGTGCGAGGGAACAAAACCCCCCGACGACAATTGGCGCCCAGCTAGTGGCATCGTTTCCCACGACCCTGAGATCGTTTTCGTTTTCGCCGTGGCTTCAAATCTTGTCTTCTCCACGCGTCCTCGCCATGGCTCCGCTTTGCTCCATCTGCTCAACCCTGTCCTCGGAGCTCCTACTCAGGTGAGCATGCTTTGTCTGCCCTGCGTAATGTTTGGTACCTTGTACGTAGTTCTCCTGGTACTAGTCTTCGATTTGGGATTTTCAAAATAATTGTTTCGCTTCGTGGCATTGAAGTCCCGGGTTGTTCTCTTGTGTACAAGTACCTCGTTCGAGCCTCGCTCTTGTTAGTACATGACTGTGGCCCACGTTGTGTGTGCGGTGTTTTGAACCAGTGTACATTGTCGCCCTCCGGCCTCTGGCTGTTCGAGTGGTCGTGTGCACTGTGTTTTCACACCTTCTGACTTGAAAGTTCTGTTGTCCGTGCTGTCGTGCATGCTCATCGTGTTGCTTGGTACGTCATCATGGTAGTCAGCATGGGTAGCTTAGCTCGTGTTTGCTTACTCGCCCTGTGTTGTGCACTGGTGCACGTCGTTTCGGTGTCGTCGGACTGCTCCGATCCTGTGTCGTCCGATTTGTTTCAGTTTGGTAGATGTCCCCATCGATTTACTCGATGTGGTGGCACTCCGTCGTTTCCAGTTTCAAGTACAAGTGCTTTCTTTTTCGTTTTACTAGTAATCATGTTTTGTGTCGAGCGTTTTAGTGCTCCGCCTGGTTGTCCCGCTCATGTGGAATGGCTGACGCCCAGTGGTGTAACATGCTTCTGAGATTCTCGTTGACGGTCCGGGTGGCAATATTTCTGTGAGTGTGTTGTTTGGTATTTGTGTTTTGGCACGTGGGTCTCTTCATTTCACCTAGGGGGGCGTCCGATCATGGTGAGCCACGGTCTGCCTGGTGGGCTGGTGGGATCCAGCGCTTATTTGTATCGGTTCGCCTTGCGGGTGTTCGGTTTCCGTGTTTTGCTGGCTGGCCTTTGTGCGTCCCAGTAGGGTTCAGGACGGTGTTTTTTTTGTGTTTCGTGAGCGGTTGTGTTTCACGCGTGATATTCAGGTTCAATCCCTGTGGGTTTTTTCAGGTTAGAGACCTGTGGTTTTTTCAGGTTAGAGGCCTGTGGTTATTCAGGGTAGCGCCCTGTGGTTTTTCTATGTTAATTTTTGTTTGCGTATTGGTGACCGATTTGTTTGTGTGCTATCTGGTGTCCTCATGGATAGACTGCCCCTGTATCCGTAGGCGTGTTCAACGTTGCTGTTCTGCCATTCCTTCTTGTGGTTTTTCTTGTCTGAATTTTGGCTCCTAGTATTGCTGAGATGTTTGCGTCAGTCCTTGTTTCTTTCTTTCTGTGTGTGTATCTGTGAGTTTTCGTAGCCCCATCGGCTGCGTGATGGTTTTCCGGACAACTCCTGTGCTGTCAGATGACTGGTCACCCGGTTCAGCTGCCGCGGTCTTCGCCGTACCGTCCGTTTGCCTTGGCTTCGCACCAGGGCGAGGTGGTTGTTTTCCGGGGGCCCACGCCTGAAAGATGGCGGTTCCCTCTATGGGTGGGCCCAGTCTGTTTTCTTTCCACCCCTTTGCTTTGGCTTTTCCCCCGTTGTCCGGAGTTACTAATGTATCCTACTGTTTTGGCCCTGCGTATCTGCATGTGTATGTTGTTCACATTTGATTTCTTTTTCTCCTGTCTGTCTTCTCTTTTTGTTTTTCTTCTCTCCCATCCTCAGGAGAGGATGCATTTTTTTTCGTGTGGAAATATGTTGTCCCTGCCCTTTTTGGCACGTGTGTGCGCCTTTTGGCACGTGCAGGTTGCGCATGCGTGCATGCTTATCGTGCGCATCCTGATTGTTTTGTGTGCCTTCTTCTTGAGACTCTCCTTGGAGTAAGACTAAAATAATCTGTTCTCTGAGTGTGGCGTCCGTGTGATATGAGATATCGAGAGTAATCGGAAGGGCTATCGTGCGAGGGATTAAAACCCCCCGACGACACTACGATTCTGCACGAGTTGTTAGCAAAACAAAGTGAAACGGCTACCGCATTTCCCCGAATATAAGTCGCACCTTTTTACACTAAAACTCAAGGGTAAAAAGGGGGTGCGACTTACAATCGAGCATGACATACTGCTGAAGTGAATATATCAAAACAATATGGCTCAAACTTGAACATGGGGATGTGACCTGTCATCGAATGTGATCTCTATTTGGGGAAATACGGCAGCTCGGGCTCACTCTCACCGGCTCACCGCTATGTGTGTGCTGCCCACTGTCCATCGTGCGCACACACTGGCACTATTGCACGCACAAACACACACACACACACACGCACACACACACACACACACACTCACCTGCATTGCTCCGACTAGCTTGTCTGGTCGAAGACATCGCAGCACCACCAATCTACAGCACAACATGATAGTACATAATTATGATGGGACAAGCATTGTAAAAAGCCAATCATTTCCAAAGAAAACAGCCCATAGAGGATTGCGCAATGGATTTCAATGACGCTGAGAACAAGTGCTTTGCATAGTTCAAACAGTACGCTTAGTCTGAATACAAGAGCCTCCTTATTGACTTGAAGAGCTACTGATCAAAGTGTGTCCTATTAATAACGATATTATAGCATCGGATAGCAAAGCCCAGAGCGAGTTTGGATACAAAACAAACCCGAAATTGGCACCCCAATTAGAACGGAGTGGTTTCCTTTTGATGGATGGGTATGGTGACTCAGCATTGGTGAGCCGCATTACACTACTGTCGGTCGCCGAAGAACTGGGGGAGTCGGCCTCCTAGCCTAGACTGTTCTTATAAGTTTCATGTATCACACAGTCTATGCACAGCTGAGTCACCACCGTACATGCACATGTACATACAGGTGAAATCCCAGCCTGGTCGGTCTTCGGCACCCGCCAACACTGTAGTACATGTGCACATCCAAAGCTGTATATGACTTACTTAGTCAGGCCAGTCAGGGCATTCCACTTGCCAGGGTAGGGTTCATCAGCTGGGTTGGCAGAGTCATACACACTCTTCCATTTCTTGTCAAACTCTGCAAAGCACATACACACACCAAGAACGATGATATGAAGAAGTGAAGAATTCAGCTCCTCACCATTCTTTGCAATCAGTCCATATGTGGATGACACTGATCCAGGAATACTTGTGATCACCTAAACTGGATTCAAGCCCGATTAGTCTTTCAATCACAGTCCACATCACTGTGCCTGCTTGCTTTAGGAGCTGCAACTACCCATCTTTTAATCTTTAGGAGCTGCAACTACCCATCTTTTAATCCGTTCACGGTTATGGTAATTTTAATGAAAAGGGTTTGCTCCCCATACCGGAACTCGCGCTATTCTGCCGACTTGACTTGACACTTGAGTAAGCCGAAGGTAATTTAATGGATATGGAAAAGTCAGTTTGATTTAGTTCCTGCAGAGCATGACATTTTTTAAGGCCACCAGTTTCAAATATCAGATTGCCGAAAAATTGGTGAAATTTAATATAGTGACTAAGTCTCAGCATCCAGTTCTGCATTGGCGGTGCATTATTGAGGGTAATAGCGGTCACTATGACATCCACCAATGGGAATGGGGACAAGAAGTTAATCTTACTCGTACCAAGGGTACATGAAAACCAGAGTGTGCAGCTTGGGGCTTTTTCTACTATGGGTGTCTGTCACGGCGGAATTCCGTGATCACATCATATTTGGCGCAGATCTGAGTCGGGAAATGGCGTAGTGCGTACAACCAAGCTGCAGTTGTGCTGAAAGAGACGTGCTTGAATCCTGCTTGTACGCACTACATCACTAAAATGATGTAATCACGGAATTCCACCGTAACAGCAACCCATCCGAGCTGCACACTCTGGTTTTCATGTACTCTTGCTCGTACTTGCATATTATTAGCTGATAACGTCTTTTTTGGCCGCAACAACCGTGAACTTAACAGTCCTGCAAAGAGTTGTAAATGTTATCTAACATTGGGGCATGAGTAAGGGACGACCATCACACATGCAGCTATCAGCCTTAGTGAACATCACTAGTGCATCGCAACTGCAACTTCGTTATTTTTCTTAACTCGGATGGTGAGTCAATTAAAGGTGTCAGGTCGCCGAATGTCTCAGTAACTCCTTGTCAGTGTTGTGCCATTTTGTCGCACTCGTTGACTGTATAAGATCTGGTTACGTTGGTGGACAGTTAGTCCTCCTTTTTTCACCATTATTTTTCTTGTTATTAATTTTTGTCTCGAGTCAGGTTTGCGTTCTTTGTACAAAAAATAAACGAGAGAGCTTGGAAGCTCAGGGGCCCTACGCTATGCTTTTTTGCCTAGCTCATCGTACATGTTATAAGAACTCATGGAAATGTTTTTTTTCCGTTGATTGGCCACATCATTGTATTGCAAAAACGTTTCAATCAGTTTGAATATTATGAGTTAGGCAAAAGTATTTGCAGAATTTATTGCAGATTGTCATTTCTTTAATATCATCTACTTTTGGTTTACTCCTTCTTCTCTTTTTATCTCCTTAGGGCCGATTCCCACTACGGTACCGTGAGTGCCGTGCCGTGAGTACCCATGGTGATTTGCTCACGTGAGGGGCAGTTTTGGCACGAGTTCATTCCGTGGCTCCTGCCGTACCGCGCCGTGGACATTCCGGTGCCGAGGGCCTCTGGGGGGTGGAAATGGCATGCCGTGGTATTCCGCGAGGTCGAATGCAGTGAGTAGTAGGTATTTTACTACTCCCTGAAAGGAAGTTTTTCTTTCTTTTGTATTTGTGGTACGAAGTTTTTTCTTGGCTTTTGGCTTTTCGATTGGTTGATTCTTGAGCTTTCTCCAGTCATCTCCCCGGCCCCCGCTATTTTCCCTCAGGACCAAAGTCAGAATTGATTAAAAAAAATGGTGATCCGGCCTGCCGACGGAATGCACGGAATGACTGTGCGCAGGTGTAAATCACTCTCAGCTTCAAGCTCGTACCGTGGGGCACACGTGACCTACCCAAATCGACGGCACGGCACTCACGGTACCGTAGTGGGAATCGGCCCTTATACTGTAAATCAACAAATTTTGGCCGATGAGAAACTTTGGCCGATGAGAAACGAAACTTTTCGCCGTCATTAAACTTTGGCCGATTGGATTTTTCAAAAAGAAATCGATCGGTACTTTTGCTCTCACATGCATCCATTGCTCAATCATGCATCATTTGCCTCTGTGACAAACTTTGGCCTGCGATTTACTTTGGCCGGTTGGTACCAAGCGGCGAAATCAGCGAAATAAAATCGCCAGCGAAAATTAGTTGATTTTAATACAGTAATCGGATTTTCTGGCCTTTTTGTAGTAATACATGTACATTGACCTGTTGAGCCAATGACGACGCCGAATGCATGGTTGCCTGTGGAGCACATTACATAACTTTACAGTCTCCTAAAATACGTATCCTGTCCGACGGCAAAAGAGGCTGCAGATTTAGTTTTTCTGCGCGTCGACCGGATGTCTGTCCTGACGTTTCCTGGGACCGGCGCTGCCTCTGCCGATCACGGGCATTCTGGACTCAACGGGTTGTCTGTCCTGACGATTCCGGGGACCGGCTTAGACTCTGCCGATCACGGGCGTTCTGGACTCGACGGGATGTCTGTCCTGACGTTGCCTGGGACCGGCGCGGACTCTGCCGATCACGGGCGTTCTGCAGTCGACGGGATCTCTCTTCCGACGTTTCCTGTGACCGGCGCTGAATCGCTCGTTCACGCTTATTTTGGAGACGACGGGATCTCTCTTCAAAAGTATGTTTATGCTGACGCATCCTATCACCTATTCGGCGTCTATTCTAATTTAATTTCCTCCTCGTCTCCCTATTTCTTTCCAAATCTCCCTCTACATCAGGAAGTCGTACACATAATACGACGAATATTGGTACGGTACGGGACAGATACAGGAGCCGGTACATATTGTGGACAGCCATTATGTACAATCCTGTAGAGCCTTTGTAGTCACAGATACGGGACAGATACGGGACAGATACGGGACAGATACGGGATAGCTCCAGGCGTGACACAAACAAACAAACACACAAACAAACACCAAATTAAAGCTGTGTGGACCCTGGCTAGCGCCAGACGTTACTGAAGTAACGTCTTCTGCATAGCTACGGGAATAAAAACAACTCACTCATGAAACCTTCCAGTCCTGGCAGGGCTGATGCACGTACGACTTCGCCCCATGCCTTTTCAGGCAACCAGTCTGGGCATGGGTTGGGATGAGGGTTCTCCAGTGCAACGCCACCTGTTAGTAGGAACCTCCAGGTGCCTTCATCAATCTTGCCACTACAGTACAGAGCACAAAGCGACATTTAGCACATAACATAGAGCACACAGGGCATGACCATTCATGCAGCCATGCTGCACACAAATTGTGGTTCTTGTGCCAAAAAATGAATGCATATACAGATGTAGGCATTCAGGTGCCCACACATTTGCACACACATGATTCATTCAGCTGCAGTCTGCGCACTGCGGAAAATCATTTAAATCAAACACCGCACTTTCCCTCTGGTTTTAAAGGAATTTTCGTACGGAACTTAGAAATTGCGCCAAAATTTAGAGATCGCGTAGGTACTGGAATGAATCGAGCAAAACGATGTGCTCATACGAGAAATTGCGGGTTTGAGTGCATGCCTTCAGAGCATGATGGAGGCAAGTTACGTAATGAAGGCAGCTAGTCGTGCACGGACCCGTAATCACAGTTGCCGCGACACTCTTGTTTATGAACTCTTGCTAGTACTTGCATTATCTGCAAAGAGTATGGTCCAGATTACTTGAAGTAGTGGAGTGTCGAGTATAAAAGCATGACCTGCATACAAGCAGGACTCGAATAGAAGCCGATTTTCCAAAGCGCGCCGTGACACAGAAGCATGGTTTGAATAGAAGCACATGTACTTGCCCACTACATGTGTGACAATGTGCACTGTACAGTGTAGACTGAAGACGCTGACGTGGAAGCATGCTTTGAATAGAAGCATGTTTTGAATAGAAGCATAACTTGAATCGAAGGCATGGTTTGAACCCCGGCTTATACAGCCGTAAGCACCTGCTTTTATACGCGACATTACGGTATATCTGATCATGCCGGTGAAGAGTACAGAGTCATCATCACATCATCACACGCCCATAGCCCTAAGGCCGTCGGGGCGTCACAGAGCAAGTATGAACAAGCGAGCGCCATAAAAATCGATGGCGTGCAGCAGCGAGCATGGTAAAGAGTACATAAGCAGTTTTAAATTTACTTATGATCATGATGAAGAGCACACATACCCACATACCTGCTCTTCATAAGCTGCACACACAGAATGGTGGAGAAGATGAGCTTGTCCTTTTCAAACAGCGATCGGCACACGTTGTTGTAGATGCTGTGTGTGAAGTGGTCGTTGAGGTGGTCAATGCGCTCGGCAAGGTCTGATGACTTTGTACTGTTAGCAATGGACTAGAGAAAAAGACAAACACAACGCCAGTTAATTAAAGGGGAAGTTAAGGCAAAAATCAAAATTTCACCAGTTGTAGTCTTCGGGGTGCTGAGTCGAATGGTCTTGGTCCGAGAAAGCTGAGACGCTCCCTTCTTACTTGAATCCCAATCGAACTCGTGCACTTCCACCGAAACTGGGTGACTGCGCCCTACTAGATGGGGATTTGTATGCAAAATGTCACTAAAAGCGCCATTTCGTTCTTATAAAAGCACGGATGACCGCGATTGGCCCATATGTTGTACTCTTTTGGACGCTGCGTCGACTGGTCTTGGTCCGAAAAGGCTGCGATGCAGCGTTCCTCCTTTATTCCCAATCGAACATGGTTGAAGAAGTGGTCACGTGCTCCTGGGTGCCCAAATCACCTGGTCACCACCCCAGCAGGCGACAACTTTCACACCAAGGTTCAACTCGAGTTCAACTCGAGTGACAGGAGTGCACCCAAAAAAGGTCAAACAGGCTAGTAAGTTGTACCCTGCAGGCACGGTGACGAGGTGACTGGTGTACGCAGGAGCACGTGACCGCTTGTTCAACCATGTTCGATTGGGAATAAAGAAGGAACGCTGCATCGCAGCCTTTTCGGACCAAAACCAGTCGACTCAGCGTCCAAAAGACTACAACATATGGGCCAATCGCGGTCATCCGTGCTTTTATAAGAACGAAATGGCGCTTTTAGTGACATTTTGCATACAAATCCCCATCTAGTAGGGCGCAGTCACCCAGTTTCGGCGGAAGTGCGCGAGTTCGATTGGGATTCAAGTAGGAAGGGAGCGTCTCAGCTTCCTCGGACCACGACCATTCGACTCAGCACCCCGAAGACTACAACTGGTGAAACTTTGATTTTTGCCTTAACTTCCCCTTTAATCTTATGATATTGCCCCAGTACCTGGGGCAAAATCGACACATTTGAAAGTATGTTGCCGCCCTTATCGTATGGACTGGACAAAAAGAAAGAAAAAAAGACAGCCACCACCCGGATTCGAACCGGGGATCTCCTGTTTACTAGACAGGCGCTTTAACCCCTAAGCCATGGCGGCTTCCTTGGACCACACCAGTTTCAAGGGAACATTGAATATATTATTGTGGCCATAGAAATTTGAGCTACGTGACAAAAGCAGCACCAATGCTCATGTACCCAATGCGACCCTCAGATCGGTTATCGGAACGTGAATGATGTAATTGAAATGGATTCGCAGCGCTACTTTCGACCCGCGAGTTGGATTTCTTGGGCCGCTGCTGTATCAATTAAAGAGGACTGGCCATAGATTGGCATTCTTATGTGGCATATCGTTGACTTCCATTGAATGCCCATGTATGGAATCGGTATGCTAAGAATAGAAACCAGGGTTTTACTGAGAGTACTGTATGCTTTCCAAGACAGTTGATTGGCTGTCTACACGGTTACGGTCATGTGACAATCCTGTGCAGGACCGGTGTAGAAGCAGTTTTTGGTTGGTCTGGTCATACCCTAGCCATTCATACTTTGCGCATGATATGGAGGGTATACACATGACCTCCTCAGCAGTAAACACACGTTGATGGCCAAAGAGTTGGTCCGACCATGGCCTGACCAACCCCGGTTCAACCGCCCCCGTGCATTATTATTATTATTATTCATATTTCTCTAGGGCAGTCCCCACAGACCTATGGTCTCCTTACGGGGTACCCTAGCCAATCTAGGATTGCGATACGAAATTGACTTGGTGAAGCAGCAAGGCGGACCGATGTGTGATGCCATGCTGGTGCTTGCTTACCTGTAAGAATAGGTTGATGAACCATGTGAGTGAGTACTGGTACATTGGCTCAATGTTAGCCAGGTCAGAGATACAGAAGAACAGCACACTGCCGTGAATGGCAACGGGTGTGTAGCCATTACGTGTCTCATCAATCTGGATCTCAGTGGCTGTGGCTATTTCCTGCACAATGGAACAGAGAGACAATTGCACGCACAGTCTTAAGCAGCATGTTGGTCATATTGTATCGATCCAAGCCCCTAGCTCGAATGGCCTCAAACCGTGCAGGCAATGTGTTCGGTGGAAATTTCCAGCACTCATTTACCATGGTATCCCGTATAGAGATCAATGGGCTCATGATGATGCCTCAGTGGAGAAATACCATAAGATCACTGATGTTCCACTGAGCTTTATTTTAGTCAGACTCTTGACAACTGACTCGATGTATCACCAGACCCCCCCCCCCCCCCATTCTCCCCAAAGAACTAAGAAGATTCCCGTGATTCGGGGCATTATGTTTCGTGCAGGCAACAGTATAACGAATACTTCACCTCCCTGAACAGAACACCTGGTCTGGGTGGAGTAAGCGGCAGGGCAGCTTTTGTCCCACACTGAACCCTTACCTGTTTAGCCTGGATTTCTTCAGAGAGGACCTTTGAAGAGGAGAGCACATTGATAGCCTTCTCATCTTCCAAAATGTTGCCCTGAAGCAATACAGAACACACACAGGCACACACATACATATACACACGCGCGCACGCACGCACGCATGCACACACACACATACACACACACACACACACACACACACACAAACACACACACACACACACACACACACAAAAACACACACACACACACACACAAACATGCACATAATTTTTACTGGTACATGCCCACTGCCATACACTGGTCTTGTGGGTTTCCCAGGGAGAAGGGAGAGAGACTCGAAAGGAATCTTGGAAAGATGACTCAATTGGGTATCGAACCATTCCACGGACAATAGCCCCTGAGATCCCCAAACTCTGGGTGAACTGGGAAATCATAGCTACCACAAGAGCATGATGACTCAAAACCTCAAATCTTGACCCTTAGCACCATTTTCACATGCTCTGCACCATATTATACATGTCCACATACTTTCGCAAGTCAATGGCAAATCTGCTTTGTGCACACACACATACACATACATTGCACATGCGTATCACAAAGATCATATTACTTACCTCAGATGACGAGAGCACCTCAAGAATTTGATCTTCAATCTCTTTCAGCTACAGCAACATCAAAACAAGGAAAATGCAAACTCTGGTTGAGTCCAGGTGCTCATTATGAACCTCAAAATACCTTCACAAGAGCAGAGCACTGCCATCATACAGACCACAGCGATAATGTAGGTCCAGTCAACTCACGTGATCAGCTCCGCAATATACTGTATGTGAATACAACGCCCGTCTCTATGACACACTGTTGCAATCTATGGGACGCATACATCAATTTCCCGCCATTAGGTTTTGCGGGGCAAGCCCACCAGTACAACCATACACATCCTGATACCAACTCTGCATAATAGGTCACAAGGGCGTCGGAAGGTATTTTAGTGTGGTACAGTCACGACAGCCATCTGAAGTCCAATTTACTCGTGAGGGAGGGGTGGCTGAGCCGAAATTTTCGGAAATTTAGAGCCCAAATCAGTGCATTTTATTGACTCGCGAGGTACTTGGGGCAAATGGTGGTACGGTCAATACCGTAGTGACCGTACCGTGTGCGACACGCCTGGGTCATGAACCTTGTAAGGTCGTACTCATCAAATTAATGGGCTATAATGGGTTGTACCTGCCAAGTATGGGGTAACTTGCCCCACAAAAAGGTGACGGCCATATTAGATGCATACCTCCAATTCTTTCTCAGCCCCAACACTATGTACAGGGATTCTCTGTAAGCTCTTGCAGTCCACCTCTTTCGCAGAATTCAAGTCAGTGATGAGATGAGAGGCGTCGTGATCATACCTGTTTCTTGTTAGCTGCACTCTCCAGGATGAGTTCATTCTTCTGTGTTTCAAGCTCCGGCCGTTCCTTGGCCACCACAATACCGAGTAGCTGATCTTCCAGGCCAAGTGGTGTGATCATGAAATTCAGTAAGCATACCTGCAACACACACCGATACACACACACACACACACATAGACACACACACACACACACACACCGACACACACACGCCAAGGTGGCAAAGGAAGGCAGACTGGATATGTGAATGTCGCACAGTGAATTGTGGGCTGTGGGTAGTGTGCTGTGGGTGGTGGGTGGTGGGCTGTGGGTGGTGGGTGGTGGGTGGTGGGTGGTGGGCTATGGGCTATGTGCACATACATTACGTTACAAAGGTAGGCAGACTGGACAGGTACCATGTGTACAGTTTTGCTCAGTTGAAATCCAGTCGCATCACTCAAGTACTTGCCAGACGTTGAGCAGAACTTTCAATGATTGTACTAGAATTCTATTGATGGCCTAGCATACACATGTACGCACATGTGTATGCTAGAACATGTACTGTAAAAGCAGAAATGTTTGGTGGTGTTTTATTTTCGGTAACTTTGGTGCCGACAATTTTTACCGAAAAAATAAACCGCACCTAAAAGATTTGGGTCCATGTGCTATGTATGTACTACATGTACTAGAACACTTACCTGGAAAGCAGGTTTACCGAAAATTTCCCTCCACCGAACCGCCGATTTTGGAGAGTACCGAAAATATTACCGTGACCACCGAAAATTTCTGCTTTTACAGTACATGTCCACTCATACGCATGCATGCACATATTATGAATTCATACACACGCAGTGTTTAGCTTGCAATACGTACCTTGACTGAGACTTCTGGCAGGTAGTGAGGATTGCGCAATCGTGTCGTAATGTAGAAACGGAAATCTCGTGAGTACTCAATCACGTTCTCTCCAAGTCGGATGTACTGCATGGCAAAGAGAAAAAGAAAGGGTATAACTAACGTTCTGTGACATCAGTTATATTCCCACCTGTTCTTACTTCAAGGCAAGACAATTTCTATGCAAGCACTTGACCCAGTTTCATTGGCCCTGATCATTGCACATTATAATAGTCACATTCGACGTCACATGACATCCTTAGAAGATCAGGCCCTCTAGAGTTGGACGTCACATGACATCCTAAAAGAGGATCAGCCCATCTGATCAACATACTGTGTTAGTACGCAGAGCTTGTGATAGTTGAACCATCTCTACCTGCTGGACAGTGGTTAAGTTTGGGCTGTCTACCAACATTGATGTAGGAAGTTTGTTTGTTTATTTACGGATTCTCCAGAGGTAAATGGATACCTATCATGGGAGTCTCACCAAACCAATAAAATAATGAAAATAACATTATGTATGGAGTGCAAAAAACTCAAAATCTGAGATTTTTTAAGTCAAAGGTGTGTCCTTGCAGCGGTGGGTGCGGGTCACACAAGATTGGGATCAGTCAAGAGCACCGTATAATGTAATGAGGTGGAGATGAATTTCCTGAATCACTTTTCATGGCTCAGACCTTTTCCGCTACGTCTCCAGAATTGGTGCATGAGAACAAAATCAGTGGGCATTCCTAAACAGTATCCAAGGCAGGTAAGCAGCAGCATTTGGTCTTACACAGAATATCTTAAATCAACCATCAGACCACAACTGTTGTGGTCTGATGGTTGATGTGGTGGTGGATGTAAAATATTCCTACAAGTGGAATAACAACTGGAAAATGATGATATCACTCTGTTTCTTTCCAATGAAGCAGCTTCCTGCACAGCTCTCACCTTGCACTGTACAAGTAAAATCATACACTCACCTCAACACCACTCTGCTTGAAGGTTTGCTTGAGCAGGAGAGGTTCAAGCAGTGGGTCTAGTTCCTCGTCCACGTTCTCCAGCAGCACGGGTGTGCCGAACTAAGTGGCAGAACATACACACGCATGCACGTACGCACAAATAGACACACACATAAGCATGCATACACACATACACACACACACACAAACACACAGGAACACAGGAACACAGACACACACACACACACACACGATTCGATATCAATGACTCCGAAATGTGCAAACTTGGTTTGATACCCATGAGGTTGAGGGAGTGGAGAACAGCTCTTAATCATCTGTTGAGGGTATGGAAAAGGGAAAATTCGGAAGAAAATAATTGAGTGCAGCCACCAGGATTCAAATCAGGGACCCTTGCTTATGGTCAGCTTTGCTCTACCACTAATCTACGGTGTAGTCGTCGTCCAGGCCGAAACATAGCTACCAGAGACCATCCGGCATAAATCTACTGTAAAAGCACTACAAGCACTACAGGGAAATGAAGGTAGTGGCTGGGAATACTAGGTCAGTAAGCATGGACTTGGCTTTATACACGCAAAGTCTTACACTAAATGTGTTGGTCATAAGTTTGATAAGTCACATAATGTCAGTACATTAAGTATGTGACACCAACGAATTGCTGAAGATTAATACTCGTATCCTGGCATATAAGGTGAGAGAAACATCACCCGTCATTAGTGGTAAGTTGTGTGCCAAACTTCACACAGACACCACAGTGATAGGGCTACAAGAGTGGTGGTGTCCAACGAAACCTGCCAGCTTTCACAGCACAGGCCAGAGATTTCAACAGGAATTTCAACCCTGATCCAGGTGCACATTCAGCCAGGCTTACCGTGCATTGTTGTCAACCAGCGCCAACTAGACAATTCACACCTACACTATGCATCCACTCAGGATATGATTAGGAATATTTACCACCCTCTATCTTCAGCGTGACACTACTCGCATAATGGAGTGATGCATATACACACATACACACACACACACACACACACACACACACACACACACACACACACACACACACACACACACACACACACACACACACACACACACACACACACACACACATGCACACGTACATACCTGCACACTATTTTCCAATGTTCGGACGTAGTTGGGATCAGAGAGCTTGATGACGGAAAGCTTCTTTGTTTTCTCCATATTCTTCACCCACTTGTTAGCTTGACCTAAGTAGGAGAATTAATCACGCACGCAACAAAAGGAGATGGATGTGAGAACGAAGGATTAAGGACAGGAGCAGCAGCTGGAGAACTAATGCTGAAGTGTGCAGGGTGGAGAACCTACCAAATAGGTATAAGGACGAGTTCCAACATAATAGGAGCACATGCTTGGTCCAGAAAACCGGCATAGACACTTATGTGCTTGCTAAGAGGCTGAAATTGCCCCCCCCCCCCCACACACACCGTTCCCGAAGTAGGACGAAGGAGAGAGAAACAGGACCCATACACGGACACACACACATACACAAAATACCCACAAAGACAGACAAACAGACAGACACACACACACACGTGCACACACATACACACATACACACATACAAAGCAACACACACACACACACACATACAATATCCAGTAGCTAGTGAACTCACCCTGTGGGTCTATCATGAGTGGGAATCGTCTGGAGTTACTGACAACGATACCATTGTCGATGGAGAAACTATCAACGGGCAGGCCGGCAATCTGCCAGGCACGGATTTTCACCGGGTCACCAAGTGTAGCATTTAGACTGAACTGCTCGGAGCATGGGATCTTCTTGATGCGACATAGCTTCTGCCAGTCCGCCGTGCATTCCTAGTGGAGCATTGGGGAACACAAAAGAGCAGAGAGCAGATATAAAGATAGATAGAGATAGATAGGCAGATAGATAGATAGATGGATAGATGTATCGTAAAATAGATACAGTCATGTTGATAGATAGGTTGTGGGAGGTAAATTGAGATACATAGATCAAGATAAATTGAGATAGATAGATCGAGAGGGATTGAGATCGAGAGAGAGATTGAAATTGAGAGAGAGAGAGAGAGAGAGAGAGACAGACAGAGAGACAGAAAAAGAAAGCGAGAAAGAGAGAGGGAGAAAGAGAGAGAGAGAGAGAGAGAGAGAGAGAGAGAGAGAGAGAGAGAGAGAGAGAGAGAGAGCAGGTAGCAGATGGCAGATAGGGGGTGATATTCATTTTTCCGGAAGGTGAAACTTCGCAGTTGCTCATTTAACTTTACAATGACGGCAACCCTGGCTGCAGCATTTGCCCTAACACTCAGGGTCATCCCCATACAGACCCTGTCAGAGCATGCTCACAACACACACCGGTCTACAGAACATCCTAATACAGTACACAGATTGTCTTTTCTAGATGCATCGTGATCGGCTATCACCATGGGGAATATCATGACTGTGACGGCCACTATCACCAGCTCTGCTTACCTGCCGATAGTCAACGGTGAATGCACCCAAGTAAGAAACGACACCGGCTGCAAGCAGTACATCTCCCGTCAAGTCAATGTATCTGTGATGTGGGATACACACACACATACACACACACACACACACACGGTCCAGCGTAATAATAATTAATATTCATTTACAAAGTAGGTTTTAAAAGTCCTCTCTGCGCACAACGTGCTCAATGCCCGGGAGGTCAGAACGTCCCTACAAGTAATGCAAATCAGAGTTTCACGCTTGCGTGATCATCAGGAGAATATTGCTTGCCTGATGATCGCGCAAGCGTGAAACTCTGAGTTGCAGTAAAATTTCTTCCGTTCCACCTTATTTGTAATATTCATCTATACTCAAGTTTCTTGCTCTACGCAATCAACGGGAGACCGATTTGAACAAGAAAAGTCCATGATTAGGTATACACAGAGGCAATATGCTTTGGTTCTGCAAGAGTGCTCAATGCCTGATTCAGGCAGAGCGGCGTACACAAAGGCACACAATGAAAACCTTGGCAAATTAATTCCGCTGTGACTCAGAGTTTCATGGCTGAACCAATCATCAGACAACGATCTCATTGTGCGCCTTTGTGTCATGATTAGGTCTATTACACAGAATGCCCACGCATAGCCATCTTACCGTTGTAAAAGTTGAGCCGCTGCTTCACTCCATCTTGCCTTCTCGCCGCCCAGCCCACCAATGAGCGTCTCAGCTCTGGCAAGTTTCTTCTCACAGATGTCTATGTTAGATTCCAGGTCACGGCATTTAGCTTGCATGGCTGCAAACTGTTCATTCAGTGCATCCAGCTTGTCTGTAATCTGCCATGGACCAGTGCACAGGTTTCGGAAAGATCAAAGCAACAGAGGAAACAGCAAGGACGGAGAAGATCAGTTTTCGCATGCACTTGCTAAAAATAAGGTATAGTTGGGGGCACTGCAATCCGTCCTCTGCAGAAAAGGGTACGACGGCATTGCAGCCTATTGAAACTGATGTAGTGCATAGACTAAAGAAGCCAGTGTGGTCTCATGATCCTATAGGCATGTACAAGTAAAAGGATACTGAGATATGAGAGTTACTGTGCACATCACATATTGAACATAGCAGTTTATATGTACGGCATGGCATTCGACCAATATTTCCTCCGTCCTTGTAACTGTCCAAAAAACATGGTTCTTTTGGGGGGTGTCGCGGGTTTGGTTTCCAGGTTTCCTATGTACAGCAGGGGCGTCGGAACCGGTGCGGCAGGTGCGGCCAAAGCCGAACCAATAATTTTTGGAAGTTTTTTTTATTTTATTTTTTACATTTTCAACCTTGTTGATGGCTTGTCGACTCTTGTACAGGTACCATGTTTTACATCGACAATGCGGTGTGTCATCAGCATGCATATTCTTATTTCTCATATTATTCTGTAGCATTAAAATATGGCCTTTTAGGCCCAATTTTCAAAAAAATCCCGGGGGAGGACCCCCGGACCCCTCTCACACTTTCGCCGCACCAATGTTAAACTGCTTCCGACGCCCCTGTACAGTAGTGTGTCTATGCCCTCACCTCTTTCAGCGCGGCTCTTTTCTCCGTGAGCTTGGCCATCTGCACAGAGAGCTCACCCTCGGCTTCTTTCAGCTTGATCTTCTTTGGTGCTACCACCTGGCAAGGAAGATTGTGCAGACAACAAAGGTGAACTTCAGCAGCTACAACAATAACAGCATACCTTTTTATTTTTTATTGTTTATTTTACAAGATATACACAACTCATCGGCAGGCACATAAGGATAGCACAAGGTGAGATGGTGAGACCATTGCATTGCAGTTTGATCTGTACAGTCAACGTCGCGAAAAGCGACCCTTAAAAGAAAGTTTTTTATTCCCAACGTTGAACGTATACAGCCAAATGTTTACTAGCACTGGCGATCGGATCAATATTAATGAGTTATTGCTAGAACCGAGGTTGTTAATCGCAAGGTTGCCTATACATATGAACACTACCAGGTAGAGTGCGCAAGACAGTGCTATGCAACGTTGCGCAATATTGTGCAAGGGGAAGCATCATGTACATGCACACACACAGCACATGCCTCAGTGGGTAGGCCACCTTACCTTAGCCACTCGATCGTACACGTCCATTGCACGCACCCAGCGACACAGACCTTCACATGCACGCGATGCATTGGCAATGATGGTGGGTTCAAAGTCCGGATTTGTTACATACCTACAAAGCCAGACCAACAGGGACACAACAAATGCGCTTGTACCACTCCAAGCTGCTTCGAAGTACATCTAAAAGCAGAAGCTGGTGGTCTCGATTGTGATAACGAGCCTACGAGACCACCTCGTGCATGATGGTAGAAGTTCCAAATTCAGGGTTTATCCAAAGTCAAGAATCACTCAAGATACACCTGCACTCTTGTACAAACAGCCTTGGATCACATCAATGTACACTACAACTCACTGCTTGGCAAGTTCTTTACGAGGAATACAGGGCATGATTCAGTAGGAACTCCATACCAATGAAATGGCCAAGTTCTGATGGTGAACGACAGGCATGCGGCGAGCGGAGGGTTAAAACGGTTAAACAGGGGCGTCACCGGACCCCTTCACAGGGGGTGCACAGGAATTTTGCACAAGAAAAATTTGCACAGGAAAACCCGAAAAAGTCGCTGATAGTGAGCTGGCCAGACGCTTTCCTTTTTCGAGAAGACAACATTTTGAGAGGAAACAGCTCCAAAGACTCTTCAAGTGTGGTGACCTGGTAACTTACTTACTTGCGACCACACTGAATTATTTATTTCTTCTGTTTCAAACAAACACCTACTACCTAGCACGCCGCCGCGGGTGTAGATTCTAGTACAAGGCCAAAGGATGCAGCGCTGCGTACACGTGCACGCGCGTAGTAGGTAAGCACTAAATTAGTACAATCGGTCATGTACATGCACTCGCTACATGCACTCACGCGATCGCGGCAGACAAGTACAACTACAGTGCTGGCAACTGAAATCCGACCCCCTTGCCGCGCGCCGCGCCGGCAAGGGGGTCGGATTTCAGTTGCCAGCACTGTAGTTTTAGTGCATGCAGTTTATTAGTATTAGTAGATTCTACCAGCAGTACATACACTTTTCATAACCAGGAGTTCGCAAAAAACCAAGGTCGAATTTTTAGGGGGGTGCACGTGCCCCCCCCCCCCCCGTGCCCATCACGGGTGACGCCCCTGGTTAAAGAACCGCCAAATTACATGGCATGTACACAGCACTGCTCCAGACATGCACTGTGCAGCACCAACACAACATCAGCATCACTCACTTTTCTCGGATGATCTTGATAACTGCCGGCTCAATGTTGTCCTTATCATAGGCCTTGAGATGCTCCAGGAACTTCATATCGCCCAACAGCTTTTGTGATGGACCCCAGAAATCCTGAATCATACGACCTGATCCGCCTGGATCTGGCTTGCGTTCTGCTTTGATATTTTTCATGATGCAGATGGATTCCATGACCAGTTTGACAAGTGCTGGTGGATTCTGCAAATCACATTCAATACAGAAAGAAAGAAAGAAAGAGAGAGAGAGAGAGAGAGAGAGAGAGTAAGGGACTGTGTGTGTGTGTGTGTGTGTGTGTGTGTGTGTGTGTGCGTGCTTGTGTGTACGTGTGTGTATGTATGTGCTTGGGTGCATGCCCATGCGCATGTGTCTTGTTCCGTTTGTCCTAATATATTTGTTCACAGGTTTGGTCACGTTGAAATAGCACAGAGGGTGTTAATGTTGTGAAGCCACAATGGGTGGTATTCGTGTATCCTTCTGTGGATCAAAGAGAGAAAGAGCAGGAGAAGAAAATGGGGGGGGGGGGGAGGGGGTAGAAAGATAGACAAACAGATAGAGATAGGGAGTAATGGATAGATAGAGAGGCAGGAGAATGGGGGGGGGGGGGGGGGAGGCAGCAAAGAGTGGAATGCACTGTAAATCCGATTATCATACAGTCCGCTACAAACCTTCATGGCCTTGACAAGTGTGATGTCAGCTGGCTTTAGTGTGTTGAGTGCAGATATGGCTGCTTCCAGTGCCGGTATGGCTTCAGCCAGGTCACCTTCACACTCATCTTTGATAGCCTTGGCGGCGGCCGCAGCACGATTAGCTACTTCTTCATCTCCTGCTACAATCTACACACAGGCAGAGAGGGACGGTTCCATTCCAGACATGTACCGTCAACTTCGGTAATACCGACTGCGCATACAATGACAATTCCCGAATAACGACAGAATTTCCGCACCCAGAGCAAAATCCCATCTAACTGCAATACAAATAACGAGGCTTCGCGAATAAGGTCAAGTTATGCTTCTATTCGAAACATGCTTCTACGTAGTGTGCGGTTTGCACCTTGCATGCAAGTAGGGATGCATCCCTATACCTTGCATGCATGCAGGGTTGCATTCCTGTACTGTGGACTACAGTCTACCCGTACACTGCACGGTGCGTAGTGTCACGCATGTTCTGTGAAACGTTTCCACTCAAATCGTGCTTCAAAACGTCATTTTCAATTCGAGTCTTGCTTCTATATGGGTCATGCCTTTATACACGACATTACGGAACATTGCTTGCCTGATAATTGTACATAGTGCATGAAACTCAGAGTAGCAAAACACAACGAGTGATCCATTGTTTGTTGACATGCAACAATACATGTGTACTATGACCATGTGCATGTGTACCAGGTGCTGGTGGAAGTGGCTTTTTCAGGCCAGTGAGTCCCTATTTTTCATCCCCCCCCCCCCCCAGCCGTGTGGCCTATTTTTCATTTGTTTTCCCCAGCCGTGTGGTGTAGACCAGGCTAAAATTCGTGGCGGTCAATTCACCAGCCAGCCTTGCAAGCTGTTGAATGGTGTAATCCCAGCATAAGATGCTATGTCTAACATAGCGTGTTCACTATATCGCTTCCGCCATGGGCATGTGTGTGTGTGTGTACCAGGTGCTAATATTCACCTGTTTCTTGGCTTCGACTTCGATCGTGTCCCTTTCGATGACCACCATTAGCTCTTGCGTCTCTGTCTGTGTCTTGATGAGCTCCGGCTGCAAGGCTGTCAACTCCTCTTTCATTACGGACACCTACCGCACAGAGCAATAACAACCAGCAGCAATACAGCAAGGCAGAAATGTGTAGTCACTGTCCGAGATAATAAAATAGTCCTCATTTATACATTGGAATGTGCTGAGCTCCTGGACGTTTGTTGTTCTCACATTCTGCTGACTGTAATACACGCCTATGTCTGTAGTTCCTGACAAAACATCGTGATTCTAGTTCCGGCTTACAATATACTCCTGAAAATATGGTAGTTGAAAAACTGCCAGGGGACAATGTCCGGTCACACATGGTGCTGCGCATTGGAAGTGTGTTCAGATATGACTGAGTAACTTGATTACTAAGTAGTAAGTGCATCTCTCTCTCTCTCTCTCTCTCTCTCTCTCTCTCTCTCTCTCTCTCTCTCTCTCTCTCTCTCTCTCTCTCTCTCTCTCTCTCTCTCTATCTCTCTCTTCTCTCTCTCTCTCTCTCTCTCTCTCTCTCTCTCTCTCTCTCTCTCTCTCTCTCTCTCTCTCTCTCTCTCTCTCTCTCTCTCTCTCTCTCTCTCTCTCTCTCTCTGTCTCTGTCTCTGTCTCTGTCTCTGTCTCTGTCTCTGTCTCTGTCTCTGTCTCTGTCTCTGTCTCTGTCTCTGTCTCTGTCTCTGTCTCTGTCTCTGTCTCCCTCTCTCTTCTCCATGAGAGTGCCTCATCCAGATATCCACCGTTGTACCACCTCCACCACAGTCAGGCTGGTGTCATAGGCTAAGCAGCGCTCGAACGTTCACAACAGGGAATTTCCCATCATGGGGTAGTTTGGGGGATCGGGGATTGTTTATTTGCACATTTTACATCGCATGTCAAACGGGCAGTTCTGCTCGGGGGGGGGGGGGGGGGGGGTATAGTGCCTAAGTCAATAATGAGGTGGCTGTAGTGTGTCAAGTACCTTACTCCCTTATGCTGTGTCTAGCCACCATGGGAAATTCCCCATTACCTACGAAGGGTTCAGTAACCCCTCCCCTTTACCTATGAAGGGTCAAATTACCCGTCCCATTTACCTGTGAAGGGTCAAGTCACCCGTTTCTTTATCGGTCAAGGGTCTAATCACCCCTCTCGTAACTTGCGAATGATCTAATCACCCGTCTCTTTACTTGTGATGGGTCAAACTACCCATCCCCTGGACCTGTAAAGGATCTTATCCCCTTTCTTATGGTTAATAAATATGGTGTTAAAGACACACCTGGCAATATGGCAGTAAACACACGCCTGCCCACACACGCTCTCTAAGCTGCAAAGTTCTGGCACAGAGCTCTCCTTCTTACCACCACCACCACCACCATCAGTTCGCGCCTGGCGCATCATCAATGCATGGTTGGCGGTATCCGATATAGCAAGCTGGTACATCAAGTACCACCATATTTATCAACCATAAATACAGCTGCAGTGGTGTCTTCAACTTCATGATCCCCTCTCTCCTTGGTTTAATTAGACACGATTACCCCTGGGGATGTTTACCTGCGACGCTGCAAACTGCAACTTCTCTAAACCGGTCATGTATCTCTGACGGAGCTGAGACGTCTCCTTGCGCTTCTGACTGAGCAGGACTTTGAATGTCAAGATGAGCTCCAGGTACGACGTGGGTGTCACGTAGTTATGGCGCCGTAGTGTCGAGTAGAATCTAGAGAAGCGGAAAAGAAAAGAAAATTAATAACAGCAAGAGTTCCCTCAGGCCCTTGCAGCGTTCCACTATACATTCATCGATTAAACTAATAATGAAATAAACTCTGCAACGCCGCTTTGTTGTGTGGCCATGGCTGCACTGATTACTGTCTTCTTCGCTCTAACCATTGGCTATCGATCATGGTTATAATCAGGGCAACCCCTCGTGGATAATGCGGGTAGAAAACGGCAGAATTTGGTAATATTTCTAGCATGTTCCCTGCATGTTTGGTACGTGGATAAAGAAATGGAGCAGGATTCAAGAAAGTGCTTGCCATAAGTTTGTATGATTCTGCCGCAATGTTTCTGCTTTTCGAGCAGAATCCGCCAAAGTTTCGAGCATTATCCGCCAAGTGCTGGTAACAGTAATCAGGGATAGTAATCAGGGATCAGGGATCAGGGATAGTAATCAGGGATCAGGGATCAGGGATAGTAATCAGGGATCAGGGATCAGGGATAGTAATCAGGGATCAGGGATCAGGGATAGTAATCAGGGATCAGGGATCAGGGATAGTAATCAGGGATCAGGGATCAGGGATAGTAATCAGGGATCAGGGATCAGGGATAGTAATCAGGGATCAGGGATCAGGGATAGTAATCAGGGATCAGGGATCAGGGATAGTAATCAGGGATCAGGGATCAGGGATAGTAATCAGGGATCAGGGATCAGGGATAGTAATCAGGGATCAGGGATCAGGGATAGTAATCAGGGATCAGGGAAGGGATCAGGGATCAGGGATAGTAATCAGGGATCAGGGATCAGGGATAGTAATCAGGGATCAGGGATCAGGGATAGTAATCAGGGATCAGGGATCAGGGATAGTAATCAGGGATCAGGGATCAGGGATAGTAATCAGGGATCAGGGATCAGGGATAGTAATCAGGGATCAGGGATCAGGGATAGTAATCAGGGATCAGGGATCAGGGATAGTAATCAGGGATCAGGGATCAGGGATAGTAATCAGGGATCAGGGATCAGGGATAGTAATCAGGGATCAGGGATCAGGGATAGTAATCAGGGATCAGGGATCAGGGATAGTAATCAGGGATCAGGGATCAGGGATAGTAATCAGGGATCAGGGATCAGGGATAGTAATCAGGGATCAGGGATCAGGGATAGTAATCAGGGATCAGGGATCAGGGATAGTAATCAGGGATCAGGGATCAGGGATAGTAATCAGGGATCAGGGATCAGGGATAGTAATCAGGGATCAGGGATCAGGGATAGTAATCAGGGATCAGGGATCAGGGATAGTAATCAGGGATCAGGGATCAGGGATAGTAATCAGGGATCAGGGATCAGGGATAGTAATCAGGGATCAGGGATCAGGGATAGTAATCAGGGATCGTCGCAAAACTGCGGCCGGTTTTCGTCGCCACTGAACCGGACATGCGGCTCATTTCGTACCCGGACACCTGCCCATAACGTGTGTGACGTTAAACATGAACACAGCTTGCTGCTATGCCGGACCATGCAAATATGCATATACAAAATTGTGCAGTCGACTCTACACTACAGACTCGACCGACAGAGACTAGCTAGCTGCCAACGGGAAAAGTCGGAAGAAGAAAAAAATTGACTGTCAGTTTGTCACCAATAGAACTCGAAGCGGTGGCGCTCACGGCCAGTCGGCTACTATCATTCCGTCTTGGAGGTTATATAACAGGGATCGATTTATCCGGGTTCGCATCGCAGTTTGCGAATCAAAATTCACTGGCTGCGATTCGCTTTTCGTTTTTTATCGCCCAAAACTGCGATGCACTACAAAGACCAGTTGTGTGCAGTCTACATTTTGTACACACTGCTGACTAGGGAGTAGTATTTTACTACTCCAACCAACTGGCCTGTCCTGCTCAGTCCGCGCGGGTCGCGGACTCGCGGATCGCGCTCTTTCGATTTTGGACACTGCACTAGCACTGGTCGTACATGACTGCAGTCTTCTGAAGTTTTGTACACGGCGGTGACTTTTCCTGATGTTCTCCTTTCTTCTTTCACTGTCAAGCTCAGTTTGTTTCTGTTCGACAAGGCACAGTTGAAGTAGATGGTTCTTAGTCTCATGTAGCCAACATGTCAGTGAATCTGATCAGTGATTCACTGTCCAGAAGAGGGACAAAGAACTGGACGCGCCAGGAATGTCGATTCGTTTCGATGTAGAAAAGCGAAATTCGATGCGCTTTGCACGAAATGTCACGATCGTTTGAGCGCTTTCCTGAGGTTTCTTTGTCGAAGGAATCAGCGGAACTGCCCTGTTGAAAGACATTGTGTTGTGAAGAACTCGAAGACGGCTGGACGCTGAACATGTAACGTGCCCAAGCGAAAACTCTAACGTAAATATTCAGGTCGAACATTCGCTTGGAAAAGCAAATAGCAACTGCAGCTATTGTCCTCTTCTTTACGAAATCCTGCAATTGTACAAGCTATACATGTAAACTTTTGATGAAGGAAAACTGCTAATCAATACTGGGAGTTGCTAGTCAATTGTAAAACTGTGTAGCAGTGACTGCTATGCAAAAAAATCAAAGTAAATCGATCCCTGTATAAGGCCTAAGGGGAAGTAGCCAAGTAGGGGCGTGAGCCCGCCGCTCGGCACCGGGAGTTGCAGCTTGCTCGACTCGACTCTACTGATTGAAGAGAACCCACACCTTGATCTGGTGAGCTGCGTCGTGTTGATTTTATAGTCAGATGTGCGACTACTAGTATTTGATAATGCATTTCTCCATGGCAGAGACTAGTTGCCAAGGGGAAAAGTCTGAAGAAGAAACATCGACTGTCACCAATAGAACTCGAAGCGTAGGCCCTAGGCCGATACATGCAGATAGTACTACTATTCCCGTGTGCTCAATGGTATCCTGTCACTGCTTACTACTCAGCATGACCGAAAAAGGGAGCAAAACATAGAAAGTGCTCCAACAAAAGTTCGCAGTGAAATATTTTTCTTTTTTCCAGCTCAGATAGTTCTTTCAAGAACCCTGCTTACTAATGAGCACATGCCGCGAGCACTTTGGCCTGTTGTCGCCATTCCCGTGTAATTCCACCGTTGCCCAGTGTTTCTACTTACTTCTCCGAGAGACGTCGGACACTCTGGTGGAAGTGCTTGCACAGCGATACACACGCCGAGCGTATGTCATCCTCCATGTCGACGTCTTCCAAGAACCTATTGGCAACCATCTCGAGGGCGTCGTCTGGCCACGCCTAGAGACAGTTTGACAGTGAGGTGGCAACACAACAAATGAAATCATCCTGCAGTACACAGTATAGACCTTCCTCCTCATTCCTAAACCCCTTATTAGTTCTCACATTCGCTTCCATGTAACCGGGCTTGTGTGTGTATTGGCGAATTCAAATAAAGAGTATAAAACCCAGTTATCTCTCTCATCCGGACCTCGAAGTCAAGGGGATCTCGGTCTACCGGGCCCCCTATGAGTGGGCATTAGTGGAAATGTTACTTGTTTGCCAGTTACTGTGGAGATAAAGACTATATTAATGGCAGATCCCTGGTCCTTCCTCTTTGAAACGTGTGCGATTCAGAATTTCCGACGTTTCAAAGTTATGGGCAATACTGGGTCCCGGACCGCTCTTGTAAGCTAGACATGAATGCATTGGGCTTCAATGGAAAGCTGAATCCTTGACCGGCGTTGAAAAGGGCTTACAAGCGCGTTATCCTATGCAGCAAATATCCCTCACGAACGCCATTGCTGTAGACCTGGAGATTCATTTGGCTTGATGTTCAGGGCGCCGCATTTCGGCAAATACGGCATTCTCCGGATTATAAGCGCACCCCATTTCTTCCTACAAAATACAGACAACTTCCCTATTGATCACCATCAATTTGATCATCGGAGTATAAGCCATACCCCTCTTTTTTAATACAGCTATGAATAGGATGAAGGCCGCAGACATCACGCAACTACGTTACTTGCTCGACATGTATGACTGTGTATTTCATAACAAAAATATTATTGAAACCCAGAATCCATTTTCTTGTTCCTATCATAAGTGGGAAAAATACCTCTTTTTTTAGTTGAATTTTGAGTGTTCAAAGAGCGGCTTATACCCTGGAAAGAACAGTAATGAGAATCCCTACTTCTCACCTGGAACCAGTCAATGGTGCAGCAATTGATCAGCGAGGGGAACATTCGCAGTCGATTGCGTAACGCGTCGCCGATTGGACTCATGCACAGTACGATATGCAGTCGTGCCTTGACACGCTCCACAAAGAAGTTGAACATGGCGAGAGGAGTAGCTTCTATCTTACGACCCTGTATAATACCATCAACATATTCACCACAAAATAATATAAAAATTATCAAACCGCAAAGTGAACAATTCAGTCAGCATCAAACAACACCCCATGCAGAGAAAAGTTGGAGGGGGCCGGAGGCGGGATATTGTTTTTCAAAACAATTTGCTGATACCTCTAAAACAAAATCTATATACATGTACCGTACATATTGAATACTCCTTCA